CGGTTGATGAGGGACTAAGAGTCAGGGCTCCTTTGGTTGTCAACTTGGTTCAACTTCTCGACTCCTAATATAAGGAGGCGATGCACACAGTCAATGATTTCAGAATGGAACACAGTGGCGAAGAAACCCAGGCGCGTGAGTTGCTAGAATTTAGATCTTCTACAATAAACACCTGAGTTTTATAATAGCTCGGTCAGTAATCGGGCGGCCCCAAAACAGACGGTCGCGGTTCGTATCACGATCATTTACACACTTTTTTTTCTATACTAGGTCATTTTCTTTATTTTTTATTTTTTTTATTTCCAAAATACATGATTTGCCAAAACCTCCAGGTACTTATATGAAAAGTTGCCAAAAGAGCAGACGGTTCATCTTATGGTAAGTGAATATCGCCGCCCATGGACATCTGCTACTCCCGAGGGTTACAGATGCGTTGACAACCTCTTGAAAATTGGGCTCCGGCTACCTCACTCACCAGACGAAACGCGAAAGTATTTGCCATACTTCCACTTTACGCCGGTCTTCTATGAGGTCGTGGTACTTACCCGGACGGGCCTGCCCATTCGTGTAACAGCCGAGGCTGCTGCGTGGCCCTACCACCGTAAAAAGGCCTACTTTGCAGACGGAAGTCCCTTTAGAAGTAGGCCTTACGTAGAGATCCTTCACTAAACCAAATCAGCTCTGCTTTCTTGAATGCGGACGGTATTTTGTCCTGCCATTCCTCCTTATAGGGTACAAGAGCATCGTACAGTTTATTTAAGTTCTGTATCGCGATCATAACTCACAGGGCATCGCTATGATGGGGTTTTTTATTAGGTCATTAGCTTTTCTCATCATAACATTACTTCTTTTTCACTCTTAAAAAAAAGAATAAATAACATTAGTGCGCTATTATTCCCTATTCGCCTCCATCGACCGAAGCATACCTGTTATAGCATCCTTCTGTAAGTGCATGTGTAGCGTTTCAATGTTGTACAACTGATGTTACGCTTTCACTTAGACTACGAAAGCTTTATCGAACGCAGAACCGGTGGGCTAGCCAGAACCCACGGGTTTGAGGCCCTCCTCAGTGGGTAGGGCCGCACTTGTACTCATGCGTGCGTTAATTATGGCATGTCGCCTACGAGCCATCGAGGTTCGGTGCGGACCGTAACCCTGATGGCCGTTGACTGCTTTATTAGTCGGGGGCTGGGGGCGGTCAGAACGGTGGGTCCGACGTATTTAAGTCCCCTTCCTCGACCGGTTCGGTGAGGACGTTGCGCGGACGACGCTTGTTGACGTTCGCGTTAGTGTCGGGTTGGTAATTTGCTGCGCTTACCTAGAGTAGGTGTGGATGTAGTGGCTCCTGTGACAATCAGACAGGCAAGTCTTTGCAAGCTATTAAGTGAGCCAACGTTTTTTCCGGTGAGAGTTTTCTTACACCATGACACGCAACCATACATTACCATAGGCTTTATAATGTATACGCAGACATTACATCCACAGTACCTGGGCTTCACACCTCACTTTGATCCAAGTAATCTGTGACATGTGCAAAGTGCGGATCTAGCCATTTTGACCACGTAAGAAATGTGGATGTTTCATATAATTTTACGGGTCAGGTATACACCAAGATGCCAAACGTTATATGAAAAATCGATAGTCCTGTTGAAGAGGTGATCAATAAAATGATGTCTCCTAAGCATTAACGAAAAAAAATAAAAAAATATGTACTGTAGAACAGTGTAATAGTTTGAGGAAAAAATAAAAAAGAGAATACCTACGGAGTTTCTTTCGCCTGTTTTTTCTCCGTTAGAGGAACCTCATAACCAAACGGTGGTAGATTTAAAAAATGATTATCGACAGATGAAATGTATATTTCTTACTTTGATGATTTGATTCGTTTTGATTTGAGGATAGTTCAAAGTGTCTGTCCAAATTCCTCCTCCTTATAAACGGGACTTTTAAAAATTATAACGCATCCAAATAAAGGATTAGGTTAACTCAGTTATACAATTATATCTTAATTGCTTGCTAACGTGTGCTTTCATATTCTTATACTCTTTTATCGCTACTATTCTAACGGAAATAATAGTTTCATAGACGTAACACTCCGGGAAATTAATAGCATTAATTTAAGGTTTAAAATTTTAACCGAATAAGAGTTAAAAGCCTACTGTACTGCTCAGTGCCAAAAATGATTATACAGCGTGTCGTTACCATCGCGACAATAAATGAACAGATAAGTTTTTTATGTACTCGTATATGTGGTATATTAGTTTCCAAATATTGGGTTCTAATTACATTATAGTTATAACAAAAACCTTCCACATCCATGTATTGCAAAACATAAACAAACAATATATATTATTCTTTATACACGAACTTTTTTGCAGCAGTACTTAGACATAGATACAAACGCACGATGCAATTATACCCTTATAGAATTAAATTGATACTGACTCGACTTGATTGGTTCAAACACAACAGGTTTAAAAAGGCAAGAAACTAATGAAAGTTCTAATAAAAGGTGTCTGGCTTTTTAAATATTCACATGAAAATTATCGATTCTCAACCATCTGTTCACAAAATCAAAAATTTTATATTTGTTGAAAACAGGAATAACGTTTTCTAACAGTAAAATTTTATGAAAATCCCCAATACCTGATACCGTAATTTGAATTTGAGATTAAAGAGTTTTGAGTTTTTTTCTTTACGTCCAGAACTTATCAGACATGCAAATTATTCAGAGTGCCCTCTCGATTCTTGGGTCTATAACGAACTCCCAAATTTTTCCGCGCGGTTGTTTTGCTTGCGTTGACGGTGTAGCATACGTTTGCACGATTCCCTTTGCTAAACAAAAAATCTTTGATTTTACATTAGTGCGTCGCAAAAGCTAACGAAGCTTTAGAAAAATCGTCCGACAAGACCTTCTAATTGTAATTGCACGAATGCACATTTAATGAAAAGGGTTTTAATGAACTGACGATATGCAACTGCGGGGGACCGAGAAAACACCCCAACCGCACTATCCAATTTATATCGAACTACTCTGTCTTTGCTTTCGTTACCAATCACGGACCTTTCGATGTGGGCTTGTAATCAAACGTAGCGTTGAACATAAATGTTATACGTAATGAATGTTGCTTTTGTAAATCATATCTTCAGTGAAAGGACATTAAGTTCATAAAAGAATGAGGAGAAAACGTGAGCCCTTAAGTCTATGCGTAGCTAAAATATTGTGGAGATGGAAAATTATTACTTGCTTTTAAATAAAACACATAACTTATACGAAGAGCACAATGAATTTCAATAACCAATTGAGAGATATGTGTACCAAGATATTGTTAACTGACGCCAGTTACAACGAACGTCCTAGACTAGGACCTAAAAAGTTTTTCATTTAACCTATTATTTTGTGGCGTATGTACGTATTTGTGGTGTGTTTGCATGAAAGCTTAATTTTTTTTTAAATGCTCAAATTGCAAATACAATTTATGTGTGTTTAAGGAAAGTGCTAAAGTTTATTAATTAATGTGTTGATTATATGTGGTAGCTTAGGTAAACAAATTAATTCTTATACCTTTCTTAAAAAACCCTTGGAATAAGTCATTTTATTTAACAAAACTTCTGTTTCATTTCAAGTGCATAAAGATGAGTGCCTCTCCATATTAGTGTATACACGAAAGCCCGCCTTACCTGGCGTTAATACAGCAGCGGTATAAACTTTATTTCAAAGAAAGTTTTTGAAGGGAACGCACGCGGCTTGGCGCACGTTAAAAAAATAAAAAAACTTATTAAAGAAAATTCCGATTGGAAATTAAAAATACATGTGACGTGAACAACGACTAGCAACGGTAAGTAAATCAAATATACATATAAAAATTATAGGTTACGATTACTTTAAACGGTGAGTCCGTTTAAAAGTTTATTGAAACTTGAAATAAGTAAATTTGTATCTATTTTTTCAATGCAAAGCGAAATCCTTGTCGTGTGCTTGTTTTCTTTTCTTTTTACTAAATTTTCTCGTATTAAATAATTAGCAATAATTAATTTTTCTTAAGACTTTATTCAAAAAACATTAGTCAATTTTATATGGCCATCCATCTACTTTTTCTTTGATGCCATGCCATGTCTATTGAAACATTGATATTGTGAAAAAAAATATTTAACTATTAAACTAAATTAATTAAAATTCATTCAGTGAAAAGGAATGAATTTTAATTTTATTTGTTTAAATTATTATCAGATCTAAATTTAATAATAAACATTCTAATTTTTGTACGGCATATGGTAGAAAGCTATTCCTTTTTTTCCTCCTTTTAGTAGCAGAAATAATTTTTTTACTATTCTAACATCATTATTTTTATTATTTAAAAAATAAATCATCTTATTAAGCTGTGCGAAGGATCCGTTTTAAAAATACTGAATTATAATTTAAATTTGAAACATTCACGCAGATACTTCTAAGGGCTTGTGATATTTTTTTATAAATTGAAAACGTGTTCAGTTCTTGCTAATTGGACTTCATTCAAGTGCCCCGTAGGCGCTAAAAGTTTAGAGTGTTCTCTTCCATTACCCCCATTTCTCGGCGCAACACAAAATGTGAGTCACCCCGAAATAAGGGAGGTTGCGTGTACGATTGCACTTCTTTACTCCCGCTGTAACTTGACCTGCTGCTCCCTCCCGCCGCTTTACTAATTGGATTATCAGGGTTGCACAGCTAAGCGGCCTGGAGATCATTTTAAGTTGGCGTGTTTGATATGTGGATAGGGCTGTGCGTACAATTCATGGTTAATTTGTTTTCGTATGAGTCACTGTTTGCTGTTATTATTCTCGCGAACACGTTTAAAAATGGACTATTAGTGTTAGGGACTATTCGGGAATACTTACTTATTTCTATTCGAAATTTTATTATTGTTTCAATTTTCAAACGGTCATTTCCTTTCCAGGATCGAACAATGATGTTCACCGGCTTTTTCTACTGCTGTTTCTATATCCTAAACGTGTTTGCTTTAGACATGGGTAAGTTAAACATTATTGAGAACTGTTTATATTTTAATTAATGGTATGAGTGTTATTTGTCATGGTGAACAAGAATATTAAAATAATATTACATATAAAATGGTTTTACTCAGTTGGATGCAATAACGTGATATATATTAATTTACTTTGCACTATGTATTAATTATGCTTGTGTAAATTCACGTAAAAATTGTAAAATAATGTTTTTTCCAACAGTTTAGTTTTCTGTTTGGAAATACGGCCTTTACGATAGAATAAGTTTATTCTGTGATTTAATGACATTAAACATTTGCGGTGGCGAAGGAAATGCATAGCTTAGCAACTACATCTAACGAGTGATCAAATATTCGGATCAATATTATACAAACTGTAATGTTGTTTACAGTTGGCGGAAGCAACTAATAATTGATTGCCAAATTAGGAATCACATCATTTATATAATTTGAGCGAGTAAATAATTTATTTATCTCAATAAATAAAAATGAATATTGGGATGCGCCCAATATTCATTTTTTTTTATTACTTAAGAATGGCTAGACCAATTCGGCTAATCTATTTGTTCATTAAGGTCTACGGAAGGTTTTAATACTATAAAAAAAAGAACTCTGTCCGGGCAGCTAGTTTTAAATAAAATTGAAACTAAAAGTTATCAATATAATTTTTTAGGATGCGGATGTGGTTCTTGAAATGCTCAGTTCAAAATAAAGATCGATTGATGTTTGTTCTGATTTCGCCTGCTTGTTATTTGTAAATTTTATTGGCTAGATTCTTACGAAACACAAATGACTGCCTTACACACAATTACTTATATCCGGAAAAATATTTGTGGGTCACGCAAATACTTGTCGCGTGTGAAAATCGAACTCACGACTTGAGGGTGCAAAAAGCATATCAACTGCACTACCAAGTCATATAATCGTTGATATTTGTCATTCTACAAAACTGTCTAAAGAAAATTGCTTGAGTGAAAAAAAATACTGAGACAGTTGTTATTCCTCAGACGTCGTCGTGTTGAGAGCGGTGCGGGGGCGTGATGCCAGGTTGCCTTGTGGTCAAGGGAAGGTTTTCCTAGACGGGCCTGACTCTTATATACTTTGGCTGAAAAACGACAGGGATTTTCTTTACAGGTTTCCGAACGAAGACACCGAGGCTAGGTGAGAAAATCTACAATGTGTAAATACGGTCATAATTATATTCCATTAGTTTTAGTATTTTAGCTACAATTGACTATTTACTGTTACATACGAGTACTAAACATATTATATGTGAATGTTGTAAATAACTGCCAAACCTTAGTATTGGTTTGATTTGAAAATGTACCGAACGATTCGTTTTAAAACGTAGGTACTCATGAATAAATAATTTGTTTGCCTTCAAAGCTTCTTATGTATGTATCAACATACAACACGAATGTACAAATAAGTATTTTAAAGGTTTCTTGTCTGAGGCTTATGTAAACACAATATTAATTACAGAATACAATATTGATTACAGAATAATAAAGGACCAACTATATATCTATAATATTAATAAAATGGTGATATATCATTTTTGCGTGCCTAGAATAGCTAGATATTACCGAGGTGCGATAAAGAATGTATCGAAACAACAGTCTGTTATAACAGTAATATTATAGGCTTTTTCACAGCAATAGGACTATAACACGGCTACATAAGGCCGGTAGGGGTAGGTAGGGGGTATATTTGGCCCAGTGATGGATTTTCCTAAAGGCCGAGTAGGCCCAGGCCTAGTAGTCAGAAAATTGGTGGGATTTTTTTATTTACCTCTCCTTTCGCCTCTTCGAGTTGGATATTCCGTAAAAATTATAATAATTCAAGTGGGCCTGATGAGTAGGTACCATTCTTCGGCTTCAAGATCAGCTTCTTTGTTTTTTATTTTTTTTTAAATTGTTTCATGTAATTTTTTTTGCTTTATAGCGAGTAGATGGCAGCAATCTTTTATGAGCCTAAGGAGATCAACGGATCAAATCTGCTCCCATTTCATGGGTATCGGTTCAAAGTACACACTCCGCTCCGGTTAGGCAAATGAAATAAATCATTTTCATATTTTTTTAAGTAATATCTTATAAATGCAGATTTTCTCACTGTGTTTTCTTAGAATTCGTGGTAAATCTTCGCGTAATTCGTGGTTTTTTCCTTTTTTTTTTTTTGACAAATTTGATGACGTCATCGATGAGCGAAAAAGAGACAACTAGTATTGGATGATCGAAACAATATATTATTTACTTTTAACATTCTGAAAGGAGTAATTAAGAGCACGTGTAATCTCTCTTCAACAAAATGAATAAATTGTTGAAGACAATACTGTAATACTAAGACTGTAATGGAAATATTAACAGTGAAATATTTTTCTCTAATCACTCGACGCCAGATATATCACCAGCTTACTTAATATATAATTAGATATTTCCAGGCTAATCGAACTTGTAGTACGTTTCCCCAAGTTCATTCGAAACACAGGTCATAAATCACAACAAATGATAAAAGCTTTTACATCAACTTTAACTAATAACTTGACATTTTAAACTGCCGAGGGCGCTTATGACAACGCTGACAACATGTCAGGCATATACAATGACCTAGAAACTAAAACAAAGAAAATTTCTCCCCTTGCCGAGTACTTTCCCTGTTCAGCTCAGTCGCTCAATTTATTAGATGAATGTGTAGTTGCAAACAACCAAGTTGCTCTTTCGTTCTTTTCTCTACTTCAAGAGTTGTACAATTAATTTGCAGGAATATGATTTTCGGCACAGTCAAAATCGTAAGCAACAAAATAATGCTCGCGAAAATTTCAAAACTAATACTTTTTTGATAAATTGCCAGAAGAAACTACAAAAACGTAGTCTATATAATGGAATAGAGAAAACTGTTTTCTATATTTCGTGGGCCATATGAAACGCGCTGAGAAAAGGGGGACTGGAACATACTAGAAGGCCTCGGGCCTAGGGCGGTCAACATTGCAAATCCGCCACTGATGGCAATCAATAATATTTTTGTGACATTTACTATCATTCCAAGTCATTTAATTAAATTGTTATCAATTGCATTATCAATAACGTCTCATTCATAAACAAAGAATACTGGCACAGGGGATAAGATTTTTAGCAATTTTTTTTCAATTTTTTTTACTCTTAAGAATTATAACATTTTACGCGCGTACATAAGTACATATAATTTCTTTTTTCGGTTCTTAATATTTTTTTTACTAAACTTGATTTTCATTAAAGTGCATTTCTCTTGAAGTCTGCTTGGTTCTTATCTATGTCTTTGTCTCTTGATGTAAAGAAATTTTGATAAGGAACAATAAAACTTTTGGAAACTCCAATAGATATTCTCTAATATTTTTAAATGTAACAAATAACGACTTAAAAACGAGTGTTTATAAAGCAGATAGGCAATAGCTGTTGCTTCGTTCTTTTACGTGCATGAACAAACTTATTTGCCTCTGTAAAAAAATCATGTAATCTTTTATAATTTTAAGTAAATTAAACAAATTGCAATAAAAGCGAAGTAATATTGTTTTTTAAATAACTTAAGAAATTTTTAACGAACTATACCATAGTTTAGTGGCTAATTTAACGAGGCTTCTTTGAGATCTGCAATTGTTTTATTTTTTTATCTTTTGTTACTGATCATACAACGTGATACGAAACGTGTACGCTTTGCAGCTTTCAAACCGCTTTGTTCCTTAAATAGTTTGTATGTCGTTCTTACATTTTAAATGTTGTAGTCGCTAAGAATGTCTGGCTAATCAATACACGGAAACTAGTTTTCAAGCATTTTGTTCTCTTAATCAATACAACTACACACATGCAATGCAATTGCACGTATATTTTCCTTACATACTTATGAATGTGTATACGTCAACTTAAATATTAGGTCTTAACCTATGAAAATGTCGTTTTGTATGGAATAAGTTAAAGTATTATTTTTCTTCAAACTTTTCATTTAACTATTATTCAAAGTATTCACCCATACAATCGATGTATCTATGTCAACGGTGTGGTAGTTTATTGATTCTTCTTCTACTTCTTGTAAAAATCATCTGGTCGGGAGTCAACAAACTCTTCAAAGACATTTTGTACTGCCACTCGGGAATTAAATTAACTACTAGTACACTTTTGCAGTAATGCTCATGCCGTTTTGTAAAAAGCTGTGATGAATCACACCGGCATTAGACCACCAAACAGCGACCAACACCTTTCGAGGGGTCATTTTTCGTTTAGGGCATTGCTTTGGTGTTGAACCCGGGTCTAACCAACTTGCTGAGCGCTTTCGATTGTCGAACAGAATCCATTTTTCGGCGCATGTAAGAATTCGGTTCAAAAATCCTTTACTTCTGTGCCTGTTGAGCGCAGGTCTCGACGTGTACGTTGCGCTGGCGATCTTTAGGTTCGTGGGCCACCCATCTATCAAGCTTTTTTCATTACCGCAAATGGACCAATATTGTTTTGTGCCTGTTGTACTACAGCGTCGGTGCCGCGACAGTACTCATATTCCATAATAACACGAATATTAAAAGTATCCATTATGACGAAAAATGTTCAAATGTAATGAAAATACAAAGCTAATCAATAAACAAAATATTGACTTTGTAAAAAGAATGTCACGTTTTAAAACAAAATTTTAATTTAGATTTCACAGCCAATCAAAACTTTAGTTTCCGTTTAAAATAGCCAATACTGAAGAACGGCAATTTCTTTCCATTAAGACATCTATATTTATTTGTTTTCATTATTGGATTAAAAAAATATTCTTTGGAACATTGACTATGTTTTATTTAAAGAAAGGTCCTTTATATTTTGAATTCTCAATGTTAATAAGAATTCTATTCAAAATATCTAGTTCGAAGCTGACAATTTGACAACTGTCCATATGAGTACGATGGGATTTACACACGCCCTCCATAAATTTCCGCTACGCGCCCCTTTTGTCCATATTCATTTGAAAATGGTCTCATTGGTTACAAATCAAAATCAAGCGGACACACCTTCTTCAAAAGCGTTCTCTATCCCTCTTCACTCCTCATCTTTCTTCTTTGTCATTGCCTCTGACCATATATAATTTGTCTCCATTTTCTTCTGTATGCGCCAGTTCAAGAGGTCATTATAAAGTGTCTCTTGCCCCTACAATAGTTTTACTCCATCGTGCTAAAATTCAGCCCTTGGGATGCTTCCCTGCATCTGTCTCACGATCAACTGCTTCTCCAACTCATGCATTTGTAATCGCATTATATGTCCCAAGAAGCTTAGTTGACGTTCTCGGCATAGAAAGGTAAGTCGTTATTTGATGTGGACTTCTTGTAAAATTAATTTGTTTGTCCTCTTGGCTGTCCATGGTATCTTTAGCATTCGTGGAGATGAATGGCGACAACGACGCTAGAGAGCAGTACGTTTCAAAAGTTTGAGGTTCCAGGTTTCAGCTCCGTACAGAAAAATAGAGAATACTGGATGTATTTTGGTAGGTCGACGTATACTCTTGTTCCTACAAATTTTCTCGAGGCTTAACATTGCGCTTTTGGCCATTTCTATACGACGATCCTCGTAATGTCTCGCATTATGAAGGTAAACCCAGGTAAACGAATTGTTCTACTTTTTCGTAGTCTTGGATTGGGATTCTGTTTGTGTTCCCGATCTACTAACTTTATTTAAGTATTTGAAACGTTGACTTTGAGACCGGGTGTAACACTTTCTATTTCTATCCATGTAAGGGGAGCAACAAACTCCTCTTCATTAGATGAAATAACGGTCGTGTCATCTGCATATCTCAAGTTGTTTATTTTCCGCCTACCTACAACAATGCTACCTTCCCAGCTCTCGACTGCTCTCTCTTAGTGCACTTATCATACAAGCATAAATTGTTTCCTAGTATTTATTTATCCATCTTCCACGTGACTCCTCAGCCACTGAAGGAGCTAGTTTTTAAACTTTCCTGAATACGTTTCCTTTTCCTACTATTCAATAATTCTTTAACCAATTCTTTAACCTCTCAACAAGCAAATAAATGTACTGATGATTGTTTTATTGGCAACTATCCATAATTATGAAGTATTTCAGATGATATGTAAAGAAGTAACGAATTATTAATGCCGTATATTATTTTTACTACTTCGAAAGTAAGGATAGTGTAGTATTTACTAACAACTTTTTGGTTACATTAATGTTTCGAATCCTCGCGATCGTAATTTAGAGACGTTATAAGTATTTAAAAAAAATATTCCATAGAGTTTCTAAAAAAAGGCAATAGTTATTAAGCTACGCCAGCCGCCTTGACCGTTAGTATTATTAGCTAGTTGCGCCCGTTCCAGGTCGGTGAACCATGAGAGGGTGTTCGGCACTTCGTGCGATGCTGGCTCGTGCCACGATGACACTTCCCTTCTATTAAAACGGGTATCAGATCAGGACGCGGGCATCTACAGATGTCGAGTGCATTACCAAGCGTCACCCTCCCTTGACTATGTGATCGAAGTAAGGTTGGTCGGTACGTACATTTCACCGTCTATGCGTTCAATTCCATTCGATTTTCAGATTGCATTCGTTCATCCGCTTTTCTGACGCGCACGCTTTACCGCAGAGACCCCGGGAACACCAAGAATATATAACGAGGCGGGTGAGGTGATCAAGCAGGCGCACGTGGGTCCCCTGAGCCTCGGCTCCGATTTGTCGCTGATCTGCGAAGTGGACGACGGTACGCGGAATCTCCGGCGCATCGACAGGTTGGAGTCGTGGCGACAGGTCATACAGTTAAACGGTTTTCAGAGCAACCAGACACGCTGGTGTACTGGCGTCGGAACGGCGCGGTCATCGAGCGCGCACACAGCGCACGGCCCGGTGTCCTGCGAGCTGAGGTGCACGTGCGAAACGCGACGCGCGACGAGCTCGACGCCCACTACGAGTGCCTGGCGCAGAACGCGGACGTCACCGAACCGCTAAGCGCGAGCGTCGTCGTTAGGATGTACCGTGAGTGATCACACCCTATTCACGCTCGTCGTAGGCCTGTCAATATGTTGGATTGTTTGATGACGTTTGATCTACTGCCAATACCACGGCCATCGCTACCCAACTTACTACTACAAGTTCATCCAATGTTTGACAATAAGTGATCAACTTTCAGCCCAATAACAATGTCAGCTAGCATCTCGAGCACATGAGTCATTATTGTCATCATCCTCCTGCCCTTATCCTGTAAAGTTGGTAAATGAGTTTACCACTTGATACCCTAGCAGAAGTGTTTAAAATCGTTTTGGGTTTTCAGTGCCGCCTATCAGCGTTGAAATCCGTTTGAACCACAACTTTGACTTCGAGGCTGGACAGCCGCGTGTAGTGGACTGTGTTGTGGTGGGTTGTGTTCCACCGCCGTCGATCACTTGGCATTTGGGCGATAACCTGCTAAGACCTAGTGTGCACAAGGTGTGTGAATACTGTTCTTCATATGAAAAGTTGACTAACAAACTAGCGGTTCACCGTAATTTTAGACGATACCATCGCCTATGGAGATCTTCAACACCTCAGGGTTGCTTATATGTAGCATTTGTATTAAAGGTTTCACTCACCAAAAGAAACGTATAAGCGTGTGAATGTGCACATGTTAATTTATTTTTATTAACATAGACATGTTATACTGCTAATTTATGTTTCGGATTAACTGTTACAATTTAATTAGAATTGTACAGACCAATCCTGACTTTAGTTGTAAGTGATTCGAAACGATTTTAACTATTATTTTTTATAAAATTACCATTAAACTTATATTTCTTATTCTTATCATTAATTTATTCTAATTCTGATCATTATTATAAGGTATGAATATAACTGAATTTACTGAGTTCATTAACTATGGCATTGCTTTAAAGGCACGTTGATTAACGCATATGAAAAAAAATATTATTGAAGTATTCGCTAGAATCTGTACCTGCAATGGCTTGTGCTCTTGTTAAAATATACTATCAATTTAACTATGAAAAGATAAATAATGTTAAAATAAAACACTTCTACCGCTACCGAGTATTTACTGGTACCAAGGAAACAACCTTTAAACAACATAATTGGTAGCCTCACCACAAATTAAAGGGCACGGAAAAGGGCTTATAAAGTATATCAATGAAACACCGTCAGGTGATCGAAGCTCCAAGACACACGTGTAACTTATTTTTGCAATGATGTAAACAATAAATTAATCGAAAACTATTAAATAGAAATAATAAATTAGTATTCTTATAAATTATTCCCTTATCACGCCATAGCTTTGATTCGAGCAACATACGGGATTTCACGATTATTTCTTAATTATATAATATAATAAATGAATTTAAAGTACCTGGACGGCTTTTTTGGGAAATCGTATATTTTTGAAATTATAAAAATAAAAATTAAAGAAAGCAATGATCTGGTATAGAAAAAAGGTAAAAAAATAAGTGTGTAAATGATCGTGACACGAACCGCGGCATTCTGTTTCGGGGCCGCCTGATTACCGACCAAACTATTAGAACATTTTTTTCGCCAAATTTACCGTCATATTCGAATGATATTTTTCATTCCCTGAAAAGTGGGATAAAAGCACATTTTCTATATATCTATATATATATATATATATATATATATTAGATAGTTTTTTTAACCACCATAATTACTATTACATTGATCTAATCTCGTTTAATTATTAGTGCCATTTTGGAAGACTACAGCATATGTGTTACTATGTTTACGAATTTATCGAGTTTATTTTTGTATTTATTTCCAGACATTTCGAACCATTTACAACGTTCATGGTCATGAGACAAACTGAGACGTTGAACGTCCAAGTGTCATTGTTAGTTCGGGCTACCGTCAGTTCTTAAATTATTAACTTTCGTGTCAATCTACAAAGATCATGCTAATTTAATCTTGTCTTGCAGTATTTGTTCGTTTGGACCTAGATATTAATAATTTTAGAATTTTATTAATAATAGGATCCTAAGCTGATGGTAGCTCCAACCCTCTTCTCTATTGAAATTTGGGTGTTTTTTAATTTCAATAGCCTCTTTAAAAAAAGTCGAATCATCCTTGTTAGGAATCGGTGTTCTTTTGCAAGAATATGTGGTCTACCAAACGTGATATAATGGTTGGAGCAATTTAGTGTGTGCTCACATACTGTAGGCTTATTTAATCTGTGATGTTTTAAGTCAGACATATGTTCCTTCAGGCGGTTTATATAGCTCTTTTTGTTTCGCTTATCTACACTCCTGGATCTTGCAGAGATGACGGATGACCAAAACGTCTAGAAAAGCTAAAGAGTTACTCTTCACCAATTTCATAGTATTTTGGAATTTAGTGAATTAAGGTGGTCTACGAATGCATTAACCTTTATTGTAAGTAAAATTGTGAAGATATCATCTACAGAATTATTATAAAATCTGGGAGCTGTGCAAATGACCTTCTCCGAAAAATCTTTCTTAAATATGTCTACAACAAGACCATTACTACAATATCGAACATTTATCTGTATGTAGAACTCCTCCTTCCAAAGCAAGTAGCCAGATGTGCTAATGCAGTACAGTACTAATGCATATTCTTCAGGCATGTCATGTTATTTTAGCTTCTTAATTACAATTGAGATGGAGTCTTGTGATGATAGGCATGTAAATAAAGGCTGGGCTTCAAAACCGACTGTTGTTTCATTTTCATCAAGACATAGTGGTTTTATCTGATTAACAAAATGGTAGGAATCCTTCACGTATGCCCTTGTGTATTCTTTTAACGTTGAGAGAACTTTTACTAGGTGTAGACGCAGTTTGCAATTCGGAGAGTCGATCTGAATAACAATAGGGCGTATAACAGCGTTCGGTTTGTGTACTTTAGGCAACCTGTAAAATTTCGAGGGCTTTGCACATGAAGGTCTTCTCGTCCAGATTTAATATTTCAGAGTACTTTTTAATAAGTGAACGCGATAAATCCGTAAACATAGTTTCATTTACTAATGTGTAACTTTTAATTATTTATTTTGTTCCTCTATGTGTTTCATTTGGTGCTAATTGGTGTTAGCTCGTTTTAAGTGCAACGTTTTATTACGTCCTTCAGAAAAAACTTGTATCTTGTATTAACTGATGTTTTTGCTTTCAGTCCCGAGACTATTAAAGCTTCATCGGACGCAGAACCGGTGGGCTAGCCAGAACCCACGGGTTTGGACCCTCCGCTATGGGTAGGGTCGCGCATGTGCTCATGCGTGCGTTTAACTAATATGTTAATGCGCGTAGGATTTATATGTGCGAAGATCATGCATGCGTAGGACATGATTGGCCTTACGCAAGCTTTATATAGCAGTAATTTGTGCCTTCTTTAGTTTTTAAGAAAAGTAAAATGCCCACTTTTCTTATTCGTTAAATTGTGTAGCCGGCCGGAGACGAACGCGGCTTTATTTCGGACTTGATTGATGTGCGTAGTGAAAGTCATACGCGAGTCGAAAGTGACTCCTAAATATTTGACCGTTTTCTCCCAGGGGAGAGTTTGGCCATATAGTGATATTTGCCCCAACTTTCTGTACTGGCGAGGACCTTTGTAACGGTGTGGCGGATGGGGGTTGGGGGTGCTACGAGTGAAGTGAATCGCCACACTTTTTTCTGGATTAATATCGATTCCCCATTTGCGGAACCAATCACCGAGGCGGTAGGCGGCGCTTTGGATTCGAGTCGTTAATTGACTGAGGTTGCGATCTGAGTAAAAGAGCGCCGTGTCATCCGCGAAAAGCGCGAGATTGACGTGGGGGTCTCTAGGTATGTCGCTCGTGTAGAGCGTAAATAACAAGGGTGAGAGGCAGGCCTTGTGGTACGCCGGCCGTGAGGCGGCGGCTTGTGGAGAGGGTGCCCTCGACTCGATATCGAAAAGAGCGGTTCAACAAAAAGGCCCGGATGGTGCGTACGAGCGTATCTGGCACTTTGTGTGTGTACAGCTTGTAAAGCAAGCCGTTGTGCCAGACTTTGTCGAATGCTTTTGCGACGTCGAAGAAGAGAGCCCCTGTACTAATGTGTTTGGGGTGGTTAAGACCTTTTAGGATGTGCTCCGTTAGGCGGTATAACTGATCGGGACAAGAGTGTCTAGCTCGAAAGCCGAATTGTTCCGCCGGCAGAAGGCCGTTGGAAAACACGTGCTCTTTGAGCCTGTTTAACAAAAGCCGCTCGTAGAGCTTCCCCAGGCAACTGAGGAGGCTGATGGGACGATAGATAGAGGGCTGGTTGGCTGGTTTATTCGGCTTGCGAATGCCAATAACCGTGCCTTGCTTCCAGTCGTCCGGAAAGGAGCAACTGGAGAGAAGGGTATTGAAAATGGTCGCCAGTAAACATATAAGCGGCCCAGGGAGAGCTTTGAGAATCTTATTACTTATGTTATCTGGGCCCGGGGCGGATTTTGGTTTTTTTAAATTTTTTAATAATATCTTGGACCTCTTCGGGGGTCACTGAATTTAGAGGTTCGCCTTCCGGTGGAAGCGCAGCCCTAGTCTCGATTACGCGGTCCACCTCCGTTAGGTGGACTGAATCGGTGTGTTCGCGCGATGGCGTACATTGCTGCTCTAGGTTGTCCGCAAGGCATTCGGCTTTTTCGGAGTCATCTAGGGCTACTGAAGCGCTATTAGATCTAATTAACGGCGGTAGAGATTCGCGGGGCTTTCAGACTGCGGGCCAACCGCCAGTAGGCGGTGTGCGATGGTTCGATGTTCTCTAGGAGAGTGTCCCACATTATATGTCGGTGTTCCGATACACGATCTTTGACTTCTAGCTGAAGGCGTCGAAGTAGAGTTCGGTTCGATTCCGATCGGTATCGGTCGAAGGCGCGTTTAGCTGCATTTTTTTGTCTAATTAGCAGTCGTAGGTCGGGCGGAAAGTTAAACCGTCGGTCGCCCGACAGTTTCACCGTCCGTTCCGAGTCTGTGACTGCGGAAGTAATAGTTTCACGGAGACTCGCTATCGCTCGATTTGCGTCATCGAACGTAGCTATCGTCTCGGGTAAGTCTACTAAGTCCTGGGGGTTCAAGGCCTTGAGTTTGACCTCAAGACGATGCCAGTCCACTACGGATTTGGTCGGAGGGACCGCGCCGTCGTTCTGGCCCAGTTTACACAGGACGGGCATGTGGTCTGAGTCTAGTTCATGGATTGTCTCTATCGACTCGATGTCGAGCGAGACCTCCCTGAATAACATTATGTCTAGGACACTCGGTGACGCGTGCTGGTAGTTGTCCACCGTGGGAGTCGTGGGAGCGACTATACTGAAATTTAGGTTATCGGATAAGCTAAAGAGATGCTTTCCGTTGTTGTTTGGGATGCTGTTGATGTCCCATGAGCCGTGTTTGCAGTTTAGATCTCCTGCAATTATCACGGAAGGGCCTAAGTTAAGAAGCGTATCTAGGTCGCTTTGAAGGAGGGTTCTATTCCTCGAGAGGTAGGCTGAGACTAGTACAAGCGGCCTGTGGTCGGTGAGCGCTAACCTACACGCGGATGCCTCTATTTGACTTAGCTCTGGAATGTCGAGCGGGCAACAGTGCAAGGACCGTTTATAATAAATTAGTGTGCCTCCCAGACGGTTTGCTAACCGATCATGGCGGACAATATTGTAATTTGCGATTCTGGGATCGCGTACACTAGGTTTCAAGAATGTCTCTTGCACTAGGAAAATATCTACGTTATAATCGCGAAGGAATTCCGCGATTTCATCCCTTTGACCCTTTATGCCGTTTGCGGTGAAATACGAAACAACCAGAGCCCGAGGTTTTGTTCTACCTGCGGTTGTACTTCCCATTAAGGTGTTTTTATGGGTCTAATTAACGACGCGGCGGAGCGCGGTTTTATTGCGCGGACTATTGTTTTTTACGGTTGGCTCGTAAAAGCCCAAAGGGCTTCCACAAGCGTTTTGTGTTGGCTAATTGCCCTAAGACGCTCGTGGCCAGATGTGGCGGGCGCTATTTTAGCGGACAATACGGCGAGTTCCTGCCTATTGATTCTATCTAATAAGCTGCAGATGTTAGCTATTTGCGCGAATGGGTCGTCCTTGTTTTCCGCGAAAACTGACGGAATTGGCTGCACTTGCGGCCGCGGCGCCGTTTGAGAGGCGTCGTTCCCTCGCGAAATTCAAATATTTTACCCATAATTCAGGGCATTCTTGACGCAGGAATTCCTCTATGAGGGAACCCATGTCGACGCTTGAGCCTTTGGGGCTTGCGCCCCGCCGGCGTGTGGTTTTCTAAATAGGCCTCCCCACCTTGCGGCAGGGAGGTGTATGCCTAAAATTAACCTTTAGTCGCCTGCGCTTTAGGTGCGCTAGGGTGAGTACCTAGCGGTCGCCTAATGCAACAAGCACACAGGTAAAAATTACAATACCGCCTCTGAGACGAGAATGTGTGTAGAATTCTACTTACGGACAGGAAACTGCCTACGAGCACAACACTACACTAACACTATCCGCTCGGAAGTCGGGCAAAGTTTCTTCTTTCTTCTATAATGTTTTTTCTTTCTTCTATAATGTTTCTTCTTTCTTCTTGCTTTAGACTTCCCTAACCGTAGACCGCGAAACACGACAACGAGGAGGCAAGCAGTGCACACCAAGAGATAAAAGAAATGATATTAGCAACAACGGTTGCAAGATGGCTTCCGGGTCGGTTGGCATGGGCCCTCCGGCTCAGACTAACGTCCGTTCCGTGTGGAAGCACGAAAAGATGTGCAGAAAAAAAACAATGCCAGTTGTTTTTGTATAATCATTTATTAGTTTTGTATAATCATTTATTTAACCATGTAAAAATTATCTTTAAATGTTATTTAAACTAGGTCCCAAAATAATTATCTAAAAACAAACATGCATGGCCAAGAAAAGGTAATAAATCGCTTACTTTGTACGTTTTACACTACTTAAAAGTTAAACTAATTATAGGTGACATACATTTAATTTTACTTCTGTAAAGTAAGTTAATATTTTAGAGATTTTTTATTAGAGAAAAAGCGGAAAAGCCTTGAGATAAAAATTCCGTGTTGCGTATTGTCCTTTTTGGTAATTACGAGGACGCTTATAACACTGGGAAATAATAATGGGCCTACAGTTAAACAATAAAATATGCATCGTATTTGTATTGGTTATTGGATGGTTGCAAACTTTATTATTTTTTATTATTTTCGTAAGGAGCCACACACCGGCTCTCTTAATTTTTCCGTTCATCGGCAATTTGTTCATTAGGAATTGCACGACGGCAACTACACCGTGTCGTCTTTGACGCTGGCACCATCGTTGCGAGACAACAAGCACGAGCTGGTCTGCCGGGCACACAACTCACACTTACCAGATGCAGTATTCGAAGACAAGGTCACCCTGAACGTTGGATGTAAGTTTAAAAAAAAAACCTTTAAACGTAGACTAAGATGCATGCAAGCCGACAAAAAGCATTTAGGAATAAATGCTTTTTGTATGTACAATCGTATGGAGCTTAGTTAGCGTGATAAAACAAGTTATAAGTTTAAGCCGACTGATATTCTCTTGTAGGGACGATGGTTCCCTATACGTGAAGAAATTATGTAAATGCGTAAAATAATGTATATCAAAGTTGATGCCATTAAAAACATTTTGATTTTTACCCTTAGGATGGTATGATTTCCACCATGGTGCTGACGACGTTGATAATTGAATTGATCTAATTATATAGATCGACCTGTTTGCCTGACTTCCCGGGAGGAGACCATTGGTGCCGTCCAACGGGAGGCGGAAACCTTGACCTGTGTGGTAGAAGCATCACCAGAACCGCTTCAGTTCAGCTGGACCTTTGACGATTCGAGAAGCCTATATACCAGCGTGAAAGTAAGCCGATGCATTGGGAACACATCATGCAGAATTAATCTAATACACGTCATCATCAATATTAATCATCCCAAACAGACACATTATTTATTCAAAAAGTATGCTGTTTTTCTATATATCTAATCATATTACAAAGTCAAAATTGTAATAGCAACTGCTATGTATAAAAAAAACTATAAACAAAATAAAAAATATATAATTTTAATCGGTCGTCCTGAACAATTATAATTTTGCAGAAGTAACATTGTTCTACGCAGGGTGCCGCTTATCTAAATTATAATGCGGTAGATTTTAAATCCCTTCGATGAGAGACAGAGTGGTTTGTGAGTTTTGCAGTGAGCTAAATTTGCTTATAAAAATATCAAAGTTGATTTTGTCTTCCGTAGAAAGTACCTGGTCATCATCACCGATATTCATCTACGCTTACGTGGCTACCAAGGGATGGGGACTTTGGGCTACTATTTTGTCGCGCTACGAACAGTTTCGGAGAGCAAAAGAAGCCTTGCGTATACGCTATCACAAATGGAGGGCCGCCGCATCCACCAGACTGCGGGATTCTACGCTCCTATCCACACACCGTGCGCGTAGAATGTCAGAAAGGCGAGATTTTCCTTGATCATTTTAGCTATCGCAGAGGTGGTTTAGTTTACTTACACAGTTGCACAGGAGCCGAGTTTGGAATCCAAAAATTTATCGGAGCGCGGCACGCATGCACACAAGTACACAAGCACACAACGAATGCACGCATGTACGCATAGATGAACAGACACACACACATACACATGCGATTTCCCCGGTAAGTTTTGTTAAATTAAACACACACACACATACACATGCGATTAAGTATTTATAAAATAAAAAATATAAAACAATTATAGGATGGGATGGCGGTCGTCCACAAGTTATACACTTGGAACTGTACAGCAGCGATGGTGCTCTCCTACATAATGTGTCAAACGCAGCCGGCCTCTTCCACCTGCCGGACGTTGAAGAGGACAATAACTTGACCGCTATACTGTACGCCAGCAACGTGCGCGGCAGAAGCATTTCGAAGACCATGTACCTACAGACGATATCGACATTGAGCGCATCGGGTAATCTATTAAACAGGTCTTGATATGGTTAAATTCAGTAATCCTGATCATCCTAATTTGTCACACGAATATTTCAACAGATTGATGTTTCGTTGAAATTTTGATGAAGTCTGCACAACTCTTTCTCTCTCATTTCACACACACAACTCTTTCTCTCTCTCTTTCTCGTGGCAAAGCTTGTCTGTTTAGTCTAGTAGATATACACCACTTTTTGTCATTGCCCCGTCATTTATCAAATATCGTTAATATAACGGGCTTTTATAATATGTCACTTTAAGCCGTAACCGAGAACTCCACGACGGTCACGTGGGAGAGGTGGTTGGAGGCGACGGCGGGCTTGGTGGCTATCTCTGTCGCCATTGCCGCGACTGCTATTTGCGTGCGGATTATCAAGATTCGAAGCGAAAACCTGGAGAACCCCGATCTAGTTCCCCGCTCAGATGGTGAGCAAGACACGCCCTGATTATATATTTCCATGGTTTTTCACAGTACCCTATAGGGTGTAATGAAACAGATGAATTATTAAATAATCCAGGTGTATTTCATCGGGAACCAGATTTCGCCCGTGAAGAACGCTTGCTCGGCACTACTAACATCACAGTGAACCAATTAGCCGCATGCCAAAACGTGAGTAGCAATTGTTGGCTTTCAAGAAGTGCAACTTCGTCGTCAATATGACCCCAAGTGTAAAATTTGTTTGTCCCGTTATCGTAAGGGTTTTACTCTTCGTTAAATTATGAAATGTTATTGAGTAGCTCATCACCACATTTTCTCAGCGATATAATAAGTGATTATATATACATATGTATGTGCTCACAGTTTTTAAGTTATACTTCTTTTGGCGAGTTTGCATATAATCCTTACGCTAAAGAAGTATAATTTCTTACGTGAGTGCTTAAGTAGACACATAATTTTTTTTTCTTTCACCCACGTTTTGAAAACCTTTTTATTTGCAAGAAATTTATACAAATGTTTACATAGAAAACGAACTATTCGAGGATCAATAAGAGCATCCTAATTTTCATGATTTAAAAATTTTACAGCATAATTCTTATCAAAATTGCAATTATCTTGAATAAACCTTTTTAAAAGATTTAAAAAAAAATTGATGCTACTATCGCAGCTTCAGCGATTCTTTATAGATATCAGTTTTATATCTTTACTTATATTTTATTCAGCAGCAGTATTCATCATCGCCGGTGCCATCTTGTCGTGTCCTAGTTGGCTGTGGATCTCGCTCGCCACCACAGGACGCCTGTCCAGCGAGCCAGCACTCCTACTTCGTATAAGCATAAAAGAAACACTTATCGGGAGCATCTGTATCGAAATCCTAACTCTAAAGATTTTTAACAAATGTGCAGAATCTTGAAAACTTCACCACGCTCTTAGAAGGCAAAGCACTTCCCGGCAACACGCTGTCTTTAAGCGCCACTAGTTTTGTCTCTCTTGCACTACGATTTTACTCTTACACCTAAGTTTGACGCGCTCAGTCCGTTGTTCGTGTCGAATAACGCGGAATTTTTGCCGTATGAGCTTAGACCAGGAATAAAAAAGAAAACTTAGAAGAAAACTAAAATGAAATAAAAGAAATATGATTAGTATGGTTTACATTTTGAACATCAATCGAATGGTAACACGATGAAAATCCTGTGATTCGTCTAGTCAAACTAGTCAAATTAGTCAACACACACAACTTTTGAAACAAGCAAAGCTGTTTTCTGTCATTCAATATGAATAAGAAGAGTTGGTAACAATAGGCACATTATTAATTGTATTAAGTGTATACAACTATGTGTTAATAAATGCAAAGCATATTATAATCCGCACGTTTAGTTAGTATATCTTGTCCAACGGGACTATTTGTTATGCAGTTTATTTATTATATTTATATAAAAATAGGTAAAACAGTCTACTTACCTTTTCTCTTGAGTTTGTTAACCGCTTTTCTTTTTTCAATGCTTTTTTGTATTGCTGAGCGTTAGCACACAATACATTTTTAAGACACAGACATACAATAGTATTCCTTTTGTTGTATATCTGTGTGTTTATTCAGTCTTTTAAAACATGTTTTAAAAATGTTGGGATATATTTTCCATATAATATTTAGTCAAATTTCGACCACTTGGTGATCGGTGATATTAACAAATTTAATATTATTCCATGTATTTTAATTTGTAACCGCAAAGTTAATTTTCATTTAAATATGAAACAAGAAATTGGGAATTTTGTTAACCACCAATATACTTATTTAGAATTAGCTTCATTAAAGAACCAAATATTGTTTTCGGTTAAATTATGTGCATCGTAATCTTATATTATCGCTAACTGTAGTTTGAGTAAAAACATATGTATCAATATTTAGAACAATATCTTATATCAAACATACCAAACATGTATGTATAAAGTTGATAGTAGCTACCCATTAGTAATTTAATGAATATATAAATAAACAATAATAGGTACAAAATTGAGAAAAGTCATTGAACCCCAAAATCCAAAGATTACTTCAAATGTTTAGCATTTCTTTATGTTAGAAGAAAGCAATCATGACGGTTCACTTGATGTTAAGTCATCGTCGTCGTCGGAATCTTCTACACTGCCTTTGATGAGGCTGGCACGTACGGGTATCGAAGTTAAACTCCTCCTGACCCGGGCTTCATCGCGGGGGCCACTCAGGACTGTAGGTAGGACGTTTGTAGTAGCGTCATTAAAATGACGCGACACTGTTTTGAGGTATTAGACGTGTAATACGACGATGTAGGTTACTTCTATTGGTCACCGTAAGTGACGGTGAGCATAGAAGTTATGACGCGTGGTAGCGTACCACGGTGATTGCCCTGTCGCCATTGCGGCAAAGATGGTGGTGACGGCCTTTGCTATATTGTTGACTAGTTACTGCAACAAAGCAAATATCTCCGCTGATGTGTCGCCTTCGGTAGTACGGCGGTAGCTTCGGAGGCAGGGGGAACGGCGTCCCCGTATCTTATACAAAATGTAGTCGTCGGCGATCTCCAGTCGGTGGCGAAAAGTGGTTACTTCTGCGGGGGCGGAGGGCGATGAGGAAGCGCCGACTCGTTGAAGCTAGCTGCCCCCAGTTGTCACGATATTCAAGGTTGTTCTTATACGGCTTGAGGACGGGTTGGCTGGCGGTGTTGTGTAGTCACTATTACTGCATTTCTTAAGGCGGCGGCGACGTTGGCGGACGTGTGCGGCGCGGCCAGCGTGATAACCGCCGCCTTAGGCCAAATGGGCCTGGGCCTGGGGCGGCCACATACTTGGGGCGGCAAATCGTGACAAAAATTCACTTATGATAACAAGATCTCATTATATTTTATAATGAGTGCTGAGAAAGGGGCGGCTGGAACTTACTATATGGGCTGGGGCCTAGGGCGGCCTAGAGTACAAATCCGCCCCTGGGTGTTTGCAACACCAACAACGTATAGTTGCAAGCGCGTTACCTCAATCAACAAACGAAAAGCAGGAGCTCAACTCTTCCAGTACAACAGTCAACATTAACATCCATAAAAGAACCGGCAAGATGTTCTTCGGTCAAATACGTATACACTTTTTCCTTAATGTTTATTAGAAGTTAATATGAAGGTCCAAAATCTAACTTGTTAAAACATTCCAAGGGATACTCACTGTAATAAGAATAACATATGTGAATTGTACCAACAAAAGAGCGTGCTTTGATCGATTGCCGATTACAATTAAATGTGCATCCACGGGCGTCCAAACGGTCACCTAACAGAGCGTGTCGGTAATGCCGCTCACTACAAAATTAACCGCTAAAAGTCGGCATTGGGATAAAAATAGACCACCATGACGGTGATTATGTTCAGTTTGTAAAAAAGAGCAAACAGTCACGCCTATGACTTCTCTCGCTATTGAGATCCGTTGCTTTTGCAAAGTAACAGACTTTACAAATGTTTATAACACTCCTTGGCAACGGTCCATACAAAAGGTTCGGTGCAATTTGGTAACCATCGAAATAATTTTGGAGTTATGTTATTATGCAGTTTTCACTGGTTACTCACGCAAAGCTTGGGGCAGCATCTAGGTTTTGTTTCATCTCAATCGGTTCCCTCAAACGTGCGATATGGTTTATTAAGTTTTAAGATTAAAGCAGTGCAGTCGCAAAAAGTTATCACAGTTATTCTACTACTGGTCTAATTTATATGGTGACAATATTCAAGATTAATTATGTGCAACATTAAAACTTTGTTTTATTGCAATTGGCTCACTAAAAAAGTTATGTGAATACTACTAAATGAGATCCAATTTATCGGGGTTTTTGACAGGTTGACAGTACAACTTCCTAGCAATATTTGAGTATCGTTTGATCGTAATTAGTTTACTTAAACAGAATATATACGTTATTAACTACTCGATCAATTGGAACAGTTTTTAATTTTTTCAAGTGACACAGCTCCCAATACAAAAAAATTACCTTCCATAAAAAATGTGCTATCAGTGATAAAATTTTAATCACGATAACTTGAATTTTCAGTTTTATAATTTAAAAAAAAGTTTGATTTAACAATATCTTCAATTGATAGAATTACAATCCAGCATAGATAAGATACGATAAGAAGAAAAGAATATAGTTCCCGTGAAAAACTAGATGGCGTTGTTAAATTCTTAAAATGCGCTATATACATATTTTCACAAGCTACTTATGGGACAAGCGCCGACCGTTTGCATTTTAATGATAATAATGCGAATTTCTTCGATTGAATTTTGCTCGGTATACGGATTTTCTTGATTTTGCTTTGCGATTTGGTTATTTGTTAGGTCGTGAGTTAGCTCATTGTCCGGGCGCTACCTTTTAATTAAATATACTCGAGCAACCTGAGTTCGATCCCCAGTGCCGGCACCAATGAAGTTTTTAATTTTAAGTGCTGACTTATCACGTGCTCAACAGTGAAGGAAAACATCGTGAGGAAATAATAACAAAAAAAATTTTGAAAGTCAATCCGCAGTGGGGCCGCGTGGTGGACTATGCCCTGATACCCTCTGTAATGAGGAGGCCGCGCCCTGCAGTCGGACATTTAAAGGCTTTATTTTTACTTTTTAGTTGATAGGAACAGTGTTGGATTACTCCATAGGCCGCGTACTTTGGCGGGCCAAATGTAGGGGCAGCAAATTAGTGGGGTTTTTAAGAAGCGTTGCTTGCCTTCGTTTTTGCGTAGGTGATATTCCATAAAACACATTTTCGGACACACACATTTTTTCGGACACACATTTTTTACACAACATTCTCTAGTCCCAAACTAAGCAACGCTTGGACTATGGGTACTAGAAAACTGATAAACATACTTAAACATACTTTTCTTTTGTAAATAAATACATATTATACATATATAAACACCCAGACACTGGAAAAAACACTATGTTCGTCACACAATATGTTTCCAGTAGTGGGGATCGAACCCACACCCTCTGGTGCAAGAGGCAGGGTCACTACTCCCCACGCCAATCGGGTCGTCGTAAAAATTACAACAAATCGAGCCTGATAAGTAGGTACCATTCGTCAACTCCATAATATCATGTACTTTCTTTGTTTAGTTTTTTGTGCCTTCCAGCGAGTATTTTCTCTTAATCTTTAATGAGCCTAGGGCGACTAATGGACAAATCTGTCACTGTTTAGGAATATAGATTCGGTTAGGATAGGATAATCGGATATTACTAACTGTTTTGTGGTTTGGAAATTATGTTTGTTTTTTGTCACTGACTCACAATTTGATATTTTTTTTTGTAACTAAGATACTTCTTTTGTAGTATTTTCTAAATAATTGAATTTACCTTTTAATATTTATTATAAAATGCCTCGATAGAATTAAAAAGAATGAGAACGATTTGATTTCAACAATGTAATGAAACCATACACAACTTAGTGCTGATACCCATTTCGCCATAGACGCCATTAATTATCTCGCACATTAGAGTTAGTTGTAGGTTATAGACATTAAAGTAAAGTAAAAAAGTAAACTGAGAGTGAATTTAGACTGAGCACCCGTAGAGGCCGTTAACAGAACACTACAGTACATACACCGAGATGAAAGGGGAACGTCACAGTTATTTTCTCTGAAGATTTTCAAAACCTACAGAGAAATTACTCAGGGGACTAAGCGTTCTTACCTGTAGCCTCGAAAACATAAGTTGCGTCTTACAGTTAACGTGCGGACATCCGTCTACATGACCGAGAATTTTCCGATTGTCTGTTAAAATTTGAGAAGGCAGAAAGGATATCCTTTCAGAGAAAAAAGGGGAGGTGTGTCTTCCGGACATACAGGTACAGTAGTTTTCTCCGAAAACAAACTGATAAGTTCAGTATTTGAAGAACTTTCAAGTGTTCACATAACCAAGAATTGTCCTGATGATATCAGGATAATTCTTGGTGATGTGAACGCATTGTGCTCACTGCAAGCAATGACCAAGCCATAAATTAGCCGGTTGAGTTTTTAAGTTCGCTTGCTGCAAGTGGCCTTTCGGCATATAGAATCCCGCGCAATGTCGGTGTAAAATTGAAAAATGAAATGAAATGTGGATTCCATTTTTCAACTTCATATAAACTTAACTTCATGTTTTCATTCAACAAATGTAACTTTTCTACAAAGGCACATAATTCCAATCCATAATTTAAAAAATATATTTTTCAAACAAACTAATTAAGTAAAAAAGAAACAAAATTTGTAGCCTCTCCTTCTAACAGTATGTTTTGTCTCTTTTAAATTCATTCAACCCATTCATATGCTTTGTGACCTTTACAAATGAACTTTACATTAAAGATTTATACGTAAGGGTGTTAAAATTCTTTGTTTTGGAAAATTTCATAACTCTATTGATGTTTAAAAAATGTAAATCTTTAATGTAATTTTAAAAAGTTATCCTCTATATGTGTGTTCATTTATTGCCGCGATGGTAAAAACACGCTGTATATATTATCGGAATCTCGGAAACGGCTCCAGCGATTTTCATGAAATTTAGTATGTGCGTACAAATAAAGAAAGTAATGATCTGGAATCGAAAAAAAAGTAAAAAAATAAATGTGTAAATGATCGTGACGCGAACCGCGACCGTCTGTTTTGGGGCCGCCCGATTACCGACCGAGCTATTATGACATTTTCTCTTGCGGCGAAAATTTACCGTCATATTCGAATTATATTTTTCATTCCCTGAAAACAGGGATAAAAGGACATTTTCTAAAAATGAAACCTAGCTAGATTGATTTTTCGCCCCCGAATCTACGCACATACTAAATTTTATGAAAATCGCTGGAGCCGTTTCCGAGATCCCGATTATATATATATATACAAGAATTGCTCGTTTAAAGTATAAGAATCTCCAGACATTCATTAAATTAAAAACTAACTTGTTTCTTGGCTAAATCAGAAAAGACATAAAAAAAATTCCTGGCTATAGAAAAATTGTAAGAGGGAATTTCAAGTATTTATCCCGAATATAGGATAACAAAACTGCTTTCTAGAAACAACTAGAAAGTCAGAGGGTAGGCCAGAGTCGCCTCATTTGTTCGCAGCTGGCACTGCACAATGGCTTGAAATTCAAGCGGTAGCGGAAAGCCACGGGTACTAGAGCATTCAAATTGCAATTTTCCATGCTGATCTACCAAGTAACATAGTAACATCAATAGAATATCAAACAACATAATCATAGAAATCAGCATATGCATATATATATATATATATATATAAGGAGTTATCAAAGTAAAGTTTCAATTTTTTATAATACTGGTCTATGTTTTTTTTTCGTAGATACAAAATCTTTTCTTAGTAGAGAGCTTTTTCCAATTAAAAAAAAATATTTTAAGCAACATTTAAGAAATGCAATAAATGGCGGTAAAATGGTTGTTCTTTATTATTAAAAGAAATATATAGTTCTCGATCTGATTTAGTTTAAGGTCCTGAGTATTCAACAAATACTTTGTAATAACTGGCACAAGGCAGTAAAGTGAAAGTAGAGCTTAAGAAGGAAAACCATCACTGAAAGTCCTTCTTCTAATCCGTATGAAACGATTGTTAATGGAACTTTTCTTGTATTACGCAATCTTTACGAGTCAATAAAGCACTTTTGAAACTCGTCGAAAGCATACACCTTGGGGTGATACATAATGATCCAACTGACCGCTACCTAAGCGAAGGCAGAGGAGGGAGGAGTGGGGGGGCTGCAACGGAGAGAAGTTCCGTACGGAGTGAGAATACAGAAACCAGTTACGTCGCGACAACTTAAGTGCGCGCGAGTGCTTGCGTGTTCGCCGCCGTGGTGTTGATGTGATAATGTTTCCAACTTACTAAGGTAAGCTTTCCAGCGGGATCGCTACTTAAGTTCTGGACATCATGGACACACGCACCGCGATCGTGATGATGTGAAAGCGATGACGGAAATCGTGACCTGCCGGATGGCGTACCACTTTTACAGGAGCATTCGGATCGCGGCCTAAAGAACTCGCCGCTTGCAACTTCGTTCAAATACTGAGTGCGGATTTTACGTATTCGTTTACTTATCGCCAATCGACACGCGTATCGGTCATTTAAAGAGCAAACTTCGGTAACGGTCAAAAGTAAAATAGATTCGTGTAACTGTAGACACTTGATTCGGTTCAACGAAACTTTTGGCTTATTATGAATGAATATCACAGAATCCTCTCACAAATCCTTCGTTTTAGCGCAGAAATATTCTGATACAGGAAGTTTTTTTTTTTACTTGCATATTACTTTGGTTATCAACAGAATTCTTCAGTAGACAATATATATATATATATATATATATATATATATATATCAATCGTCATGTCGTCGACATTATTCGAAAGATAATACTTAAGTGTTGATAATTAAGAGAAAAAATAAGTTGAAATATTCAAGTAATGATATATACAATCAATATTTTAATGTGCATGAAAATACTTCTGTAACAGTTGTAAACCAGTTCTATTTGGACTGATAAATTAATGAATCAAATTAGTTATAATAAAGTTAGTTTAGTTTTTGATTATCATTATTTTCATTTTGTTCGGCCAATAAACATTACTAAAAAAATATGCAACGCGCTTTCTTCTTGACCGTTAGGTATAGAAAGCGTCTGTTGGTACTAGGATATTAATTTTCCTACGTCGATATCACACTTTTAGAATAGGGCTCGCTGCGCGCCATGCCAGATTAAATAGGCTCGTAAATTTTAAAATTTCTAATCATTTAAATTTAATCTCTGTCTTTATTGATACATTTTTAATACAGTGTAGTCAGGGGAATTACATAGCTAAGCAGATCAGAACACTCCAATATTGTGTATGTTCGTGACGTTATTATGTTATTCTAGTATTCCCAAGGCATTTTAGTTCTTACTAGTGAATAAACGAAAAGTTTTGAAACTTAAAAGAAAATCTAAATATGTATTAGGTTAGGAAATGTTTTTAAATCTAAACCATCATTAATTACATATTCAATAGTATGCTCTGATACATTTGTTAGTAAAATAGCGAAATGGCATTACCATTGAATGGAGATACATAATTCGATGCACGTGTTGGATGCTTATATCCGGAAGTATAACTATTACGCGACCTACATACTTTATTCACTTAACATAGATTGGAGTATATACATCGTTAATCTGAAATGATTTCATTTACACTGAAATTATTTAGCAGAAAAAATTGTGTGTGTGCTTATTTACGCACGTAAGACGTTATACATCTTTAACGTAACAAAATAAAATTAAGCAAGTAAATGAAGCAATAATACGAAAGTGCTTATATATCGGACACCGGATATCATGATTTAGAAGTGTATTAAACTGTTTAATAAAAATAAGATAAACTAATTTTTATAGATAGGTATAATGAAATACCTAAATAAGTCAATTCTTCCGAAATTATATTTTTGGCCATATTTATTTCTATGTAATGAAAAAACTAAACGTGACTAAATAAACCTGAACCCCTTTATACCTGTATATCCCAGTTAATCACTGAACAAACAAATTGGCGTATAATGCGCTCTCAGGCCAATGTAATCCAAATGGAGCGCTCTAATTATTCATTCATTTTTCTCCGTTGTTAAACGACTGCCAAGTGAAAGTGAGTTTGTTATACATTGGATCTGTAATTTCATATTTTTCCTCCCGATGAAGCTCGCACCATAGCGTGGGAGCATGAAACTAGTTCATAGGGAACCTAAATATGCAAATAAAATACTCGTAACTGATTTCTTCCCTAAAAAAAGGGAAGTGAAATAAATGAATTTCTAATTAAAAGAAATAAGTGCTTTTCTTACTTAAAAGGGAAATAAAATAACTGATTCATTAACTAAAAAGGGAAATAAAGCAAATGATTTCCTGAATCTTGCATGCTAATAATATAGTGCTAATGGTACAGTGGAGCGTCATTGGAATACCTGATTATATGATGTGATTATAAATGAAATAACATTCTAGACAGTATTTGAAAATGAGAAGACTAATTCGGTGAATAATTATTTTTATTTTATTTTAACTTATTGTTCTCGTTTTAATGCTATTAGAATTTACATTACTTCGTCAAACATAATAAAAAAAGTGTAATCAATCCTAGTTATTCTTAACGTCCGTTAATTACTACTGAAATGTGTCATGCTTTAATTTTACATACTTTATGTTGTAAACAATATGAGGCTATAAAATCAACATTTTAATTTAACTCTACATATCTTTTTCGTTTCGCAACTATACCACTTGTAGTGTGTATGGTAATTACTTAATGATTTCCGGATCGTAAAGGCGTCTTAGGCCTTTCACGGCCGATTCAACAGAAGTTTCATAAAATTCATCAAATGGGTGTTGTTGCGAATCAAAAACTGAGCACACACACCCAGGAGGCGCGTGTGTTACGTTTATCAACACACATGAGCATCGTAGCATTACTTGGACTAAATCGACGATACACGTTCTCTTTGCCTCATTAGTGGACGTAGATAGCGTCGGCCCGCCGCCAGCTAGTCTAACGGGATGTTGATGACGATTCCGTGGAAATTAATGATTATTTTCTAATATACCTTTCCATAAAACTTGCAATGATTTCAAATACTTACCGCTTACTTCTACGGATAATGCTTAAGCCTAGCCTTGTTCAATAGTAGTAAATAAAATCCCCATAAAGAAGGCGGCAAATTTTGCATAACTAAATATTCCTAAAAAATAATGATTATTAGAAATTCAATTATGATTGCAAATATAAAAGGATAAAATATAAAATAAACTTGTGTGCCTGCAAATGCACGCGTTGATGTCTTTTGTTAGGACTATAATTATGTATAACCAATAAAAATGAAAATTGTAGTCAAGATTACACTTTGTATTGGTTATAAATCAATCATTCTATGTTTAAAAAAATGTTTAAAAAGTGTATTCCTGACACTTCAATTGTCATTGGTTTTAAAGAAATCATCAATTATGAAAACTATTATTTAGTTTACTTAACTTTAACTTATTCTATCGTTCTTTGATTAGCAATTAAATTGATATAATAGGGCTAGAAATAATGAATATAAAAGCAAAAATTATCGCTTACTTACGTACTATATGATATTAAAGATGCATTATACATCCAGACTGTGTATTGAGGTATCAACAATATAGAAAGAAATTTATTTTTGGCGCATTTTGAAAAATTTCCCTTACTGTAAGATAACACTACTGTCTTGTAAGGATGTTTTACATATATAAATTACGTAGATAAACACCGCAATCGGAACGATTATTCATAGGTCATGCAAATACTTACCCCGTGTCTAATCAAACCCACAATCCCTGTCGATAAAGCCTGGCAACTTCGCCACGGAGTCATCAAAAAGTAAATGCTTTACTTTCGTTCGGATTTACATCGAATAGAGGCAAATTACAGTTCTGCGGGTACAACAAGGAGGGACACAATTGTTTCTCTCTCAAAGTTTTCTCTCTCTGCAGAAATACTGTTGATTGTTCCACTTCGTGTTTGAAATCGAAGCATAAATAAATATCTTTATAAATAAACTTCGAACTGTATTACCCCAGTTGCGTAAACGGTAAACTAGCCATTTATCGTTATGTCATTATAATCTGGTTCTTTGTTTAGTCATTTCAAAAGTACTGCATTTATTTGAGACAATTACATAGCGCAAATACAATATGAGTAATATTAAAATTAGTACGAAAACAAACAAAACAGGTGGCAAATATTTAACATCTCCGGGCGGAAAAGTAATATCGGATTTCTCTAATAAAGTAATAAGTAATCTCTAAAATATTTCTCTTTCATGATATAATACTCCATATTCTTGTATGTACGAGTATTATAAAGTTGGATCATTAAACTTTGTAAGGCAGAGCCTTTCCGTTGCACTGCGTATACGGGACTATTATCGCGTCAAGTCTTTTAATATAGGAAAGCGATAGGAAATGCAATGCAGTGATCTAGTTTTTTCATTTTTTTGTTTAAATGATTTAAATATTTTCATCAGGTGCATCAAGATGAGTGATTATGAGCGCATAAAAGCGAACTGCTTACAGCGTCGGGAACTATGGGAGGATCCTGATTTTCCTGCCATACAGAACTCTGTCTTCTACTACCAAGTTCCACCATTCACGTTTGAGTGGAGAAGGGCAAAGGTCTGTATCATATTTTTATGATTACATCTTTATAATACGATATATTTCTTAATGTCATAGTATTTATATATTTATACATAACTAGCGGACCCGACAGACGTTGTCCTGTAAACACGACTGAAATACGAAAACAACTTATAATAAAAAATTAAAAAATATATGTACCGAATTGTGAATCTAAACTATTCTCGAATCGACCTAAAGACACGCACAAAATTTCATAAAAATCCGTCCAGCCGTTTAGGAGTTCAGGGACATATACACGTACAGAAGAATTATATATACAAAGATATGCATATGTACACAGACCATGCTTGTATTAAGAAAATATATTAGTACCTCATCATATTACAATATTAGTGAAACCTGTAATTTGGAAACAGGCATTTAGGGACCTCGGACGACTCGGTGCAAATGTAGCATCGTGGATCGTCGATCCAAATCGGAGCAAGCATCTGTGGACCAAAGGACAATAGTTCAGGACCCGGGTGTTTGTTCCCAAGGCGCAGGCTTCATAATTAACATGTTGAACTAATCTCACTAGCGTGCTCTTATTTCACTCCTGTTCTGCACTCGTCATAAGCATTTTACCTCTCTCCTGCCGCCCAGATAAAGAGCGGGAAAAGAACGATATATATATGCAATCTGTTCATTGTATTAGCTTATTGTTATACCGTGATAATGTAGAGCTTGATAAAACAGACGTTAAAGGTACGAACGTCGCGAGTTGTCACCCTTAATAGGTCTCGTTTAGTTATAACAGCACTAAAAATATATCTCTATCTAATAAATATATATATCTATCTATCTAAAAAATATATATCTATCTAATAAATGGCAATTTAGCATGCTTAAGTATTTGAGTCAAGTAACATTATCCAAATAGGTTTGTGGTTATTACTGTCAGCTTCAGCCCCACTGCATGTTACTCAACGTTATGTTTAGTCATCATTTCAAGTATCCATTATTAATATAGCCTTATAATACGACATTTGCACATTTAAAATCCCGTATACAATACATAAACAAGGGTCATATTATACTTCATCATATTTTAAGGTACCTTCTGTTACCTAAATATATAATGTACAGTATATACTTATTTTCCAAAAATTTGTTAAAATTTCAGCTTTAATAAAGCATGCGGGATAGAGTTCACTAACGGCGAAAATGAGTAACACAAATAATGTCACGTACGAAGTCCGGCAGGTTGAGTTGAATGCATGCGGATGCCGGCAGCCTGCAAAAAAGTCCGATCAAAACACGCTTTTTACTCAAGTTCAATTTAGTTTACTCTATGACAGTATATATGTATATTATGTGATACATCGCACATTTCGCACATCGCTTTTCATTTTATATTGGTTTATTTTATGCTTACACAATAAACAAATCGTTGTTTTATTCTTACAGATAACATACATAAACAAGGAAAAGCACAAAAAGTTCGAGATCTCTACCCGCTCTAGTTGTTAATTGGATTTTTTTTTAAAATAATCAAATCTTATAGTTATTTTTTGAACATAACATTCATTAAGTCACTTGACATTCGGTATACATATATAAAGATCAAGCAAAACTTTTTTAAATGTGGCTATACTGCTTTGTACCACACTCAATAAATTCGTACTGTTATATGGGATTTGTGTACATAACAGTACGTGTTAACAGTCAAATAGATCAGTTGTTATTCAATCTCAGTTTTCTCGTTAAACTTTTGGTTTATCCACTTTATTTATTTTGAATTATATACATATATATTTTTGTTATTTTTTTATGTTATTTATTTTTTTTATTAATTAATTATACATATTTTTGACGACTCGGTGCCTTAGTTGCTAAGCTATTGGTTTTGTTGCGGGGGATCTTGGTTTTGATTCCCACATGGAACAATTATCTGTGAGACTTAGGGGTAAAAGGGGTAATGGGGGTGACTTAAGCAAAAATTAAAATAATAAAAAAGCTTGAAACAGAATCTTTATTGCAACCGCCTCATAACAAAGTCTACTTACTTGGCTATTATTTGACATCAATGGTCAACACATTAATAATTAACTTTGGCAATTAAAGAGTTAAAGTAGAAAAATAGTTTTGACTCCAATTGCACCGAGGTAAGGGTAATTGTGACCACCTTGTCAAATCGCAAACATATCCCAGCTCGCAGACTGATGAGCCAGGGCCTAGACAATCAACTGTGCTAAAAGATGGTGGTGGTGGCGGCAGTGAACCAACATGCATTGATGTGCCAGTTATTGAAGATTCTCCTTGACCTGGTGCTGGGTCATCAATAGCATCTGACTCATCATAGTTTTGAATGGCAGTAGTGTCCGATTGGAGAAATTCGGCTGGCAGAAAATCTTCTTCAGAAAACTCGTAGGGGTTTATTGTCCATAAAAATATTGGCCATCTTCTTTATGAAGACGGCCAAATCCCTTTCTTTTTCAAGGCTCAAAACAGCCAGCCGTCTAAGACGTAGAGCCAAGTAAGATTTTTTATTAAATCAAAAAATTTGTATAATTTAGTTAAACATAGTAAAGCATTGCATCTTTTATCAACTTATGCAATTATAATTATTTATTTATTTTTTATTTATGCCGGATTTTTTCTTTTATATTTATATTTATATTAATAAATAATAATATTTTAATAATATAATTATTAATATATATTATAATTATATAATTTTTATATTATTTACAAAAATTATAAGAACTACTAAGTCGGTCACTTAGCTGTTTGGATAGTTAAATTACAATATACTAACATTTTTAAACTTGTGATATCTTTCTAATGGAATTTCCGAATTTAATAATTCAAAAAGTTATTGAAACTGTCTTAAATATGAAATAAGTATTATAATACCAAGATATCTACAAATAAAGTGCCTTTTCTAAGGACGGCATTTCAAGCAAAATTTTAAAATAAAAGAACACTTATTGTGGCATAACTATAATACTTAAACATAATTATGCTGTCGCGACACTTTTTGTAATAAATGATGTGTTCAGCATATTCGTAGTACATTATTTTATTCTATCATCAATAGTTTTCGCAGCACATGCGATGTAAAGCATATTTTAGGTAATTTTCGTACACTTTGGGTTACATTATTGAAGTTTTAGTAAAGATCCCTAGTTTTTTTTTGTAAAATATAATATAGCCTATGTCATCCGGGGATAATGTGAATAGTGAAAGAAATTATCAAATCGGTTTAGTAGTTTCGGTGCCTATTCAATGCATACAAACAATCGAATCTTTCCTCTTACCTGGTAGGCGGAGTGTTAGGTTTTATTTTCGTTACGGAATTTCTTGTTTTGGTCGCCACGCTCAAACCCCGCGATAAAAGCTATGCAATAGCTGAAAATATATATTTGCAGCACACGTGATAAATGTTTGAAATCGTTACACTTAATGTCCGAATAAAGGTGTACGAAAGTTACAAACAAGTCTAAGTGTGATACTTACCGTTTAATTTGCGAGAGAGGAAATTTATATCGGCAAGCCGCAAAAACAAAAGTGACCTCTCGTTCCCGATGCCGTTGCCATACAGGCGCAGCCGGCACGCAACGATTGTGAGGGGCACATAGCGGAGTAAGGAGGCCATTTACGCATCTCTAGTGGTTGAAGTGTTGTATATAGTAACAGTGGGTAATTTTGGTCACCCACGACCACCATTACCCACTGACTCCCATTACCCCTTTTTCCCCTACCTAGATTAAATAAGGGCAATAGAAGATAATTTTAATATTGTTCACAGGAGCTTTATGGCAACCCGACGTTCATACTCGACAATTGCAACACTTTCGACGTAGTCTCCGGGAGACTGGGTGAGCCGGTTTACGATTATTAGCTATCCAGCTCGACAATTTATATGCAATAAATATTGACAGTGACGTACGAAACGGCGAGAGAATTGCGAAATCCGTTCGTAATTGTGTTTTGCAACCGATTTGTGCCAAAAGCGATTATTTTACATGTAACACCGTGCTACTCGTCTAAACAGCGCATTAAGTGAAGGTTGGACATATTTTACTACATTTCGTAACGTCTATACAATACTATAATCCGTGCGTTTTTGCCTGGTGCGGCTGTCATTCAAATCACACCTATCAAGATCCTTAATTTGTGACGGTAAAATGTTGTACAATTGCTAGAAGCGCCCAGATAATTGAGTTCCATGGGTCGTGTCACTACAGACGATAAGTAAAATAAATCGATTAAATTGTGTTTGTTCTCAATATCTGGATTTGTATAAAAACGGATTAAAAAAGGATATGAATGGATCCATTGAGGATTACCTAACATTTTCATAATAGGTAGGTACATTCTCAACGAAATTCACAACGTATTTATTGTAATGATTATAATAATGACGGTTTTTTTCTTAATCAAATTCCGCATATTTGATCCGTTTTAAGCGATACTAAATATTAGAAACTTACGAATTCGATCAAAAGTTGTTCATTCTGTAGTCATGTCAAACTCTGTCATCCGCAAAAAGTCACAACGCACAGGCTGTAATGTCAACCATTCACTGCCCGCAGGGTAATAGAATAATAGAACATAAAGCCAAGACGCCGACTGTTGTGCTCTCTGTCGCGCTTACGGATCTTACGGGAACAAATAGTGACGTACCACTGTCCCGTCGATGTTGATATTACAAGAAAGTAAAGTGTCGACACGTGACGCACCACAAGCTTCAGTCCCTAGCGCACCGATGATTTAAGGCCCCGCGAGCAGGGAGCCCAAAGATAATGTAATCACTACGTTTAGAGCCGTTGACATTAGTAAAGTATTAGTGTTCGCTTTAAATTATTAAATAAATGTATAAATATTTATAACTGCACATATTTAAAGTTTTTTTTAATATGTGTAGTCATATATGATATGTTGTTTGCAACGCGAAAGATTTGAACGCACTGCGAGTTTAGTTATCATAAACTAACTGAACCCGGAACACACTTCTTGATTCCGTTCTTTCTTCGGAATAATAAATATATATAACACTCCTGTTTAATAGCTATTTTGTGAATAAATGGCAAGTCAGCCCATTGACCAGTTTTAGAGTTTGGCAGGATACCCTTTTGTAAATACTTCACCATAAAAGATCTGGAACATCACAACACAATTATCTTAGACCGGAGATGTTACCGGTACTAAATGTTACCGGAGTTAAAAATAAACTCTTAAAAAAATCGTTCAATCAAAACTTTGTTAAACAGAACATGTATATATCGTAACAAATTTTAGTTCTAACTGCTAAAACTAAACAAAGATTATTATTATGCATTATGGTAGCTATATATTATTTACTTCATATTTCTTAACACAATTAGGTACATAAATTTCGTAAAATAACTATCACATTGTCGTTGTTTTTCAAACAAATATTTCGTTTTCACGGAGCCTTTATAGCATATTCTTTATTATTAGAAAGTAGAAAACTCGTCAGCCTTTTATACGTATGTTTTAAACAATTTGAGAAAATCAATGTCCAGCAATAAATTACTTCCGGCTTACTGGTTATGTTATATTGATTAAGTTTTTTACTGCATAAATATAAAGATACTTCTTGCATTTATAATTTACAGCAGAAATATTTAGAATATTTCGTACTAACTAAATTATATTTATAATTTGCGGAAAAGTTAGGCTTACCTTTAAGCGAGTAGACAACCAGCCCATTGCTACCAGCCCCAGCTTGGCCTCAGCCATAAAAAATACTTAAAAATGTTACCCTTATAAAAAACTAGGAATATTATAAGCCCACTAAAACTAAGTGAGGTAAAACTCGTTTGAAAAGTATGACGGCTAGAATTTATTAGTCTTTATGGAAGTATCAAAAGTGGGCATTATCTTCATTTCGTTCCATTGTAAACAAGTTTCTATCCGGTTCGTAGGATATTTTTGCTACCTCCCATTATCAATTGGTAAATTTAAAGAAACGTTAAAATTTCCATATTTGTGTAATTATAATATCATTGAATTCAATAACAATAAAAAAAAATATTTTGCAAATTAGGGACCATTTTGAACGCAGTTTAGGCGAATTCGAAAATATAAATTCACCTCCATTAAACTAAGTTATACATTATTTGGTAATGGGTCAAATTTAACTGGGGTTAATTTAGAGTCAACTGTAGTAAGCCATTCGACGGAGCAGAACGGTACTGAGCAGGCTTTATTGCGCAACATTGGTCCGCTTTCACACACCCGCACACTTAAGTAAGCAACATTCCGGTGCAATGACCCTAAAAACGCCATAGAAATATCTCAATCTATGATATTGGCCTAGAATTCATTGATTTGTGGTAAAATTGAATAATAACTGTTCATATTAAATAATTCGACAGCTCATAACGGAAGGACATTCAATTCGGTTAGATTTTTCTTAATGATATTTTTTTTAATTTCTTGTATTTACGCGATTACACATTATAAATGAAACTAATTTTACGGATTTATCGCAATATATTGCGATAAATCCGTAAAATTAGTTTCATTAATGATATATTTTTATTTTTAAAAGTTTCCAAGCGAGCAGACGGTTCACCTGATGTTAAGTGAATACCGCCGCCCATGGACAACCGCTACACCCGAGGGTTATAGATGCGTTGACTACCTTTTGAAAATTGGGCTCGATATTCTATCTTCACATTTTGTTATAAATAAAGATAGCTGTCTTTGATATTGCCATATTTATTTACGGTACAATGCGATAAACCAAGAGTTTTTCACTGGGTGGTATACGTAAACAGTGTGAATTAAAAGTTAGAATTACTAGCAAGTTCCAGAATAAAGAATATTTCGTTAAAAGTGACGAAAATTCTTCATACTTAAATCAGACAACATCTGACACCCCAGTCAGATAATAGCTACCGATCGAGCCGAGGTCCGGCCCTCTCGGGCACCCTCGAATCGGAATGCTAAACGCGTGCTGAGTGACAGCCCAAGCCGAGGTCCCCTCTCGGGGACCCTTGAGCCTGATCACTCCATGGAGCGCCCGCCAAAGCGCCCTAAGAGCTTGTCGGCCTCCCAAACCGGTGATAATAATAGCGTGACGGCCCGAGCCGAGGCTCCCCCGGGAACCCTCGAGCTTAGTCACCATAACGCGTAATAATAGTACGCAGAGGTTCAGGCTAGGCGCCTCGTGCGCCAGGCCACCTCAAGTCCGTCGGATCTGTAAAGGCCCCTAAGGACAACAGTGGCTCATCCAGCCCAAAAAAAAAATCTGACACAATTTGCGTTTTTAATTTTTAATTATTTTACTCATAGCAATATACTAGCTACTTAGACTTAGCTAGCATATTTTATAGCTAGAATATTTTATAGCTATTTGAATATCTGCTTAGCATTACTTATACATTGGTTCATACTGTAATGCTGTCCGCAAGGCAGATTGGCTTTTCTTTTAGCGTTACATTACTTGTCCACTCTGATATTATTGACATGAATTTATTGTAGAAATAGAATTTTTACCTTGAATATATCTTAACTCATTATTTCACCACATTTATATGGACGTAAGATTCTATTTCATATATTTCAATAGTTACGATTTGGTTCGATAGTGGGTGTTAATATTCCTTTTACCAAAAAGGAACTTTACCAATCACCTTTTTATTCACTATCGGTGATGGAAGCCGATTTGTTATATTCATTATAAGACGTGAATTTTCAACAACTTACCATTTAAAGCTAACATTTCCGTTGCAGGCGACAAATGGCTTCTCTCGTGCGTGGGGGTGTTATACCTTTGTAAGGGGTTGTTCTATAGAGTTGTGCCATCAGAACAGAAGATAGACTCAAGTTACGCCGGAATATTCAGGTACAAATGTAATTAAAGTTAAGTGAGTTAAGCTACTTACATGAACTTAAAATTTTTCACTGTTTATGGTTATGGACCTACTCGTTCAATAACACTTATTCCTTATGGTATTCTTGAACATACTAACTTTTCGTCTTATAAAAATAATTAACATGAAAAACTTCAGTAATTGCATTTACATTTACATTTATAAGTATTATGCTGTATATTCATACTACTTAGTTTATATTTAATTATTATCACATTTTAACACTTAGAATAGAATACAATAGAATAGACCTATACTATTGTTTACATTGTTGTCGTAGTTTTAATATTTACAAATGTTAATTATACTCCTTAAGCTTGTTGTCATGTGAGTTGAGGTTCAGTGTACATTAATAGTTGATATTTTGTCATATCAAAAATGCTTTTAAGATACTATAAATGATGGGATGCCGTAGATTTCGACTTTGGTGGTGCGGCCAATGGGTGGAGGTGTTGGTTGACGACAGACTACCCACAGTTCATGGCCAGCTTGCATTTATGCATTCAAGTCACACAGAGCAACTTTGGCCAGCCCTACTAGAGAAAGCTTATGCCAAGTAAGTAATTTATACTATTTAATTCTAGATCTGATCACGTAGATCATGTATCACGTCTTCGAAGTATTTCTACGCTCACTTCAAATAGTTGTTTCATTCAAACTATAATATTTTCAGAATGCACGGATCTTACGAGGCTCTTAAATATGGTAACCTACTGGACGGGCTTGCTGACCTTACCGGTGGGATCACAGAGTCCATGATTCTGTCGGAATTTGGAGAAGCGCATGCACTCAGTAGCTTAATGAAAGCGAGCAGCATTGTTACAGCTTGTCGACTACTACAGGTTTACAAAGCAACGATCTATTTAAAAATTTTGCGTCTTCCGTACCGATAGAAAAACTTTCAACGAGAATCCCCCTTAAGGGCATATTTTATACTATCGAATGCAAATTTTCTTGTATTTTGGTAACATCAACCGGCCAATGAGTGCTTAAGGTCTGTTAAGTCTAGGTCCCATAGTAAAACAACGCAGACTTACTTATGATTGGAAAATCAACATATCCGATAGTGCCAACAATGATGGCCAATGAGAGGTATAGGTCGACTTATAATAAAAAAAGGTTTTCTTTCTTTGCGTATTAAAATTACACGTTTACACGAGTTCTTCCCAGTTGCCTGGGCACTCATTGTTGAAAGGGTTTTTTATTTACTCTAAGCATATATATGACCATAAGTAACCATTATTGCAGCAATAAAGCTTTGCGGGCGCTAAAATGTACATCCAAATTATCACGCGTAGTCAATTATAAAATGTACTGCATAAAAATGTTTGATTTAAAAGATTTTAAATACATCAGAGACAAATTTATATCAATCAATGGTGATATTATGTTTAAAACTATGTAGGTTTATTTTTTGGTTTCAGTCTATTACACATAACTTGACAACAATTGAATCGGGGATGAATTATAGAGTGTATGCCATAGAAAAGGTAATTTATTTTATATTTACTTTTTTTCTGTAATTTCCTCTTATCTTCTTTTATTTTTACTTAAATCAATGTATATTTTCTATATAAATCTATGAGTAGTGTTTACTTGCTTTAAAGTAAAAACAAATCTTTAAATTCGAATTTCCAGTGATTAAGGCACAAGCATTGATGATTAATTATTTTTTCAAACGATCATATAAATACTTCAATGTCAGTTAAACGCGTTACTACGCGATGTAAATTTTATTTACGTCAACGTAGTATGCAATAAATGGGTACTTAATATGCACATTTACTTTTAGGTGGATTCCAAAGAAGGTCCGCTACATCTGGTGAGATTAGGAAAACCGCCAGCATCCGGAGATTCGCAGCTATCTCATCTTGTTTTGGACCAAGCGAAGTATGCCAAAAGATTTCTAAGTTTTTAGTATGCGCCTGTAGCCGAATTAAAGGCATTAATTACTAATTTTGTATTAAACCAGTACACACTGGCATAATCAGTGAAGATATATTTTCGTGTACAAAAAGAAAATAAGACAGCAAGTAAAGAAAAAATCATTCAAGGTCATGCGTATTATATGCATCCTTACATAAATAAGTTTCTTAATTCTACTCGCATGGTTGAAACTTTGAATATTTTATTAGAATATTAATTATCAAATTTTATTTTATATTTTTGTCTGTGTCCTACATTTTTAAACTAACTTGTTGGTACTATTGGTACTAGATAACTGACATACTTAAACATACTTTTATAAATAAATAATACATATTATACATATATAACACCAGGATACTAGAAAATCACACAATAATTTACCACTAGTAGGGATCGAACCCACACACTGTCGCAGCAGGCAGGTACATTACCCACTACGCCATTCAGGCTGTCAAGTGTAAGCTTTCGAACTCCTTTTATTGGATTCGTATTTGTCCTGAAATCCGTAACATCTGTAAAAACATTGATCAAGAATCTATTAAATAAAAATAAAAATAAAAATGAAAATAAAAAAATAAATAAATAAAAAGTAAACCTCCATTATTTTAGCAAGTTTGGTTTTCAGAAGCCAAAATTCGGTCATTATTAATTCACACATTTTTATTTATAATTTATGTACACATAGAATATGAAAGAAATATTAAGAAAGTATTAATCTCACAAATGTTTCTCGCAGATGGGCGTTAATACCTGAACACGAAAGGGATCGCTTGGCCTCGTACAATAAAGGCTTTTGGATGCTATTCTCCGACTTCAAAGATACTTTTACGAGGTTAGAGATGGTGCACTTAGATGCAGAATCGAGTAAGGCAGAGACGTCATTGTCGGACAAACTCAAATGGCAAGTGAGAACTCATCAGGGCAGGTGGAAAAAAGGCGTCACCGCCGGTGGCTGTCGAAATCATATTAGTAAGTTCCCGAAACGTTTCAATATTATTTCAACATCCAGTTTCAATTATTAGTTTCGACATTGATTTCATTGACGAATAATATAAACGTTAATTAAATTAATATCCCTTTTAGACTTCTTTCACATGAATCCTCAAATACAAATTGTTCTACTCGATCCCGACACAGTCATTATATCACTAAACCAGCACAGTATAATGGAGCCTAGAGTCATTGGGTTCAGCATATACAAGCTGCCAAAAACGCTAAACGAGACCGCGTCGCCACTGTTTTTCAAGAAAACGAAGAGCTCCGTTAATTCTCAATATACCAACAGTAGACAAGTCAGCACCAGGTTCGTAACTATGTATAAATGTATGTTTAATCATTAGTATGGTGGTTGATTATGTTTGGTAGTTAACAGAATGTCATACTTATACCCGTTTTCACCATCGCTCCCTAACTTTAATGGACACCTAAAATAATTTAAGAGCCAGTTTCGTTTTTACGACCGCTTAATATCACCTAAAGTCTTAAGCGTGACGGTTAAGGGGTGGTGAAAACGAAACTAGCATTTTTTTAGGTGGCCTCTTAGTTAGGGATCGTTGGTGGATACGTGCATACAACTTGTATCAATAAGTTTGAGCTTCTCACTAGTAATGTACGCTTTACGCGAAAACAATGAATGATCGACTTGATATTTGATATAACGCCCTTTATCTATTTTGTGCTATATGATTAATAACAGATATAAAAATCTCCACACTGTGTTAACGTTGTGGTGCCGATTATATTTACATTAAGATGTATTATAATAACATGAAGTTCCATTGCATGTAATGCCTATGCTATAAACTTTATAAAACAATATACTTCTTATTTTTCATTTTATTTACTTAATCTTAAGAAAGAAAATGCATTAACAACGGCTATTTACCCGAACAATTCTTACACCACCTATAATCACATCACCTCAAATCATCACATGAAGCGGCTGTGTATAAAGCGTGTCGTTACCATCACGACAATAAATGAACACACGTCTAACGTTACTTGCCAATAATCATAAAAAAATATTAACGTTAAACAAAATCCATAATTAAAAAAATATATTTTTCAAACAAACTAATTAAGTAAAAAGGAAACAAAATTTGTAACATCCTATACAACTCGCGCCACAGCATCGCATTACAAGCCTCTCCTTCTAACAGTATGTTTTGTCTCTTTTAAATTCATTCAACCCATTCATATGATTTGTGACCTTTACAAATGAACTTTACGTTACGCTTTTATAGGTAAGGGTGTTCTAAAATTCTTTGTTTTTGAAAATTTAACAACTCTGTAAATATTGATGTTTAAAGAATTTAAATGTTTAATACAACTTTAAAAAGTTATCCCCTATATGTGTGTTCATTTATTTTCGCGATGGTAACGACACGCTGTATATGAAAAGATTGTGAAAAAAATACAATCTAAGATCGATCTCATAATAAAAAAAAATATCTCTAATATTAGTGTTTATGATCATAGATTACATAATGCATAGCGAGTTTAATGGCAAACAATATTGCCGTGATGTGTTAAGTGTGCAAAATGACAGCGAAATCTATTTATTACAATTATATTTTTCTTCTGTCTTTAAGATACAGGAAGAAAAGTTCATTATGTTCTACGTACAAATCAACTGACTGCTGAAAGCTGAGGATCCATAATAATAATAAATTCATTGGAGGTGCTCTTCAAGCAGATTGTAAATTTATAATAAGACCAGAATTACACTAAAATGCTAAGCTGCTAGGCGAACGATTACTTTAATTTGGGTTATTAGACCAAACTAAGCAATAAATGTTACCGCCGTATTAATATTGTTACATTTACGCCTAACCATGATTCGATATCCTTTAAAATAGATATATTATTGCATACAAAGCGACGTGCTCATGACAGCTATTTTCCAGGTGTCATTTAGGCGCTGGAGCTTATTTAGTAATCCCTACGACGTTTGAACCACGCCAGGAGGCGAACTTTTCACTAAGGATATATTCAATGAAACCGCTCAAGATGACAGTACTGGATTGCGCGCCACAGATGCTAAAAGCCGCCTTAATAAAAGCACCGGCTAGCGTCGAGTTGAGCAGCTTCGCGCAGTACGAGTCGCAATTCCTTCAGCTTGCAGACGAACATAAAACCATTAACGCTTTTGAATTACAAGAGCTTCTAGAGAGATGTTTACCAAACGATTACATAAAGAGTTGTGCCACCATCGAAACTTGCAGACAGATTGTGCTGTCGATGGAAGTATCCTTTACAATACCATGTCATAATAATTAAGAATATCACATAGAACAGCCAGTATGATACGGTGTGGTGGCGTCTTATTTGATTTTCTAAATTACACTTCTTTTGGTGCGTTTGAAAAAATTATGAAAGTATAATTTTTACGATTCGAGCTCAAACCGACCCTCAAAAGTGACATGATAACCAATTTAATTTTGGCAACCAATAACAACTTTTTGACTTATATCAATATTTCCAAGTTTTTTAAATAAACCGTTATCAATTAATTGTATTTAATGTCTTTATGCTAAAGAAGTATAACTTCTTAGGTTTTTTTATTGTACTATATGTGTATCCAACAATAGTGATATGTGTTTTTGACAAATTAAAAAATCTCTCATACTATAATACTAATAAGTAAGTAAGCCATTGAGCAAAATACATGGATACGTATATTATGATTTCTTTAACTCGCACCTTCAGAAGGACGGCACAGGTCGGATAACACTATCGGACTTCAAAGATCTGATTTGCAGTTTAAAACACTGGCAAATAGTGTTCCGCGAACACGCTCCGGAGAAGATGGGCGTCTTGCGAGCTGAAAGACTTCGAGACGCCTTAAGAGAAGTGGGGTTCGTAGTTCCCGAGAGAGCATTGGCGCTACTGGTGCTGAAGTATATGAGGAAGGATGGCATGCTGAGATTTGGAGATTTCGTATCAGCAGTCGTGCTATTACATAGAGCGTTCAGTAAGCACTCGTTTTTCAAATTTGTGCTTATAAACTAGTCACTGACAACACACTACATTTTTACGAGTAATTATACCAGACAATATTTTGCAAGCCTCCTAGTCTTACAATATAATTCGAGGAAACACAATTTGTATAAATAAATTGATCACACCACACTCTCTTCTACGTTTGCTCGGCTATTTGGCTAGTACCGATCATATTTAACATACATCTAAGAGAGCCATCTCGATCGATAAAAATACACTTAAATAAAAATAAAATAAGCTTATACTGCAACATACGTATAATTTCAATAGCGATCGAGTAACAGATAAATAATTTGAAAATTGTTCGTGTCGTTACTTTATACCCGTCTAACAATTCTCTTATCAAACTACTGTTAAGATATTTTAATTACCTATAAACGATTATATATTTGCCATTAAAAGGAATATAAAGCCGGGTATAAAGGGATTGTATTGCTTTTCAGATATTTTCTTCAAAAACTTTTCCACGAGTTCATCCAAAATAAATTTAACATTCTCCGAGGTAGGTATATTTCACCGTTACAGTAATAATATCATGAATATCAGGTTGAGCATCAATGCACACTTTAAACATCACATATGCCGAACATATTTTTATGAAAATGGAAACGTATCACGGAGTCCTAGCTAATGTGAAATATTTCAGTAATGTCTATCACATTATGATCAGGCGTTTTTTTTTTTCAGTGGTTGAAGACGGTCTTGACGTGTTGACGTTGAAAAATCCAAGCACGGAATGATTGTATATAACAGAGTTTGAAAAACTGCTATGGCGCAAAAGCACAAATATGAAGCATTTATTATAATAATGAAGTTTTTATTTTTTAAATAAGTATAAACCGTACTCATACCGATCTCGCTTACTGCAATTAGCGTGTTAGTTAATACTGTAGTAGTTATAATTTTTTATTCATAGAAACTCAGTTCTTCTACGCCACCGAAGTGTTAAGGAGATGTTCAAAATTAGGTAAATATTATACATATTATATCTTATTTCTCCTACCGTTATGCCACCTAAGTGGGGTCGGCACATGTAAATTAAGTTGTTAATGGTATTAGCTAGGTATTTCTACAACCGGCCTTCTATCTTCACGTAAGCCAGAAGGCCGTCCCTTCTTGGAAACGAACACCCAGATCCGGAAAATTATGTGGGTCACGCAAATACTTGTCACGTGTAGAATCGATTTTACGGGGGTAGGGCCACGCAGCAGCCTCGGCTGTTGCACGAATGGGCAGGCCCGTCCGGGTAAGTACCACCTCACAGAAGACCAGCGTAAAGTGGAAGTATGACAAATACTTTCGCGTTTTGTCTGGTGAGTGAGGTAGCCGGAGCCCAATTTTCAAAAGGTTGTCAACATATCTGTAACCCTCGGGTGTAGCAGATGTCCATGGGTGGCGGTATTCACTTACCATCAGGTGAACGTCTGCTCGTTTGGCAACTTTTCACATTAAAAAAAAAAATCGAAGGCGTGTAGAATTGAACCCACGACCCCGCCCTTTTTTTAATACTATTGTAGATTGCAAATTGTATTTATGAAGCTCAATAAAGAGAGGAGCTTTTAGTTAAGAAAAATAACCTTTGTTTAATAACTGTAACACCAATAAACTTCACATTTGTACTAAATCTACGAACAAATATTACTTTAAATAGCCGAATCTTTGTGTATAAAAGCCCATCTATAAAAACCGCATTGCAAGAATTCTTTAATATTTTAACCGTCACAGATTTCTATAAGCGACTATGTATTTTAAGCTAAGTCTTAAGATTGGTGATTTAAAAAAATATACCAGATGTTAACTTAAAAACAGCAGTTTTTATTTCATTCATCTCAGTGAGCTCATAATTCAGACGAGCGCCTGTTTATTTAAACTTCGTCGAACTTAGAGTGAACGCACCTGTATTTAAATATTATCTAGGGTCTAGGTTAATATCTTATATTAAAGACATATCTTCAATATAAGATATTAACCTATATGGAACGGTGATATTGTAAGCGTATAATATGTTAAAAAATAAAATCACCGTTCCAAAGTATTCCTGTTTCCAGAGTGACAGCATACATTCAAACGTTTCGTTCGAATGGTATAAAAAGGATAGCGTACGTAAAACTATAACCCAGTCAGATAATAGCTACCGATCGAGCCGAGGTCCGGCCCTCTCGGGCACCCTCGAATCGGAATGCTAAACGCGTGCTGAGTGACAGCCCAAGCCGAGGTCCCCTCTCGGGGACCCTTGAGCCTGATCACTCCATGGAGCGCCCGCCGAAGCGCCCTAAGAACTTGGCGGCCTCCCAAACCGGTGATAATAATAGCGTGACGGCCCGACCCGAGGCTCCCCCGGGAGCCCTCGAGCTTAGTCACCATAACGCGTAATAATAGTACGCCGAGGTTCAGGCTAGGCGCCTCGTGCGCCAGGCCACCTCAAGCCCGTCGGAACTGTAAAGGCCCCTAAGGCCAACAGTGGCTCATCGAGTCAAAAAAAATAAATAAATAAATAAAGCTATAAAAAAAAGGACGGCAAGTGTGTCACTTTAGCGTAAATGTAAAAAATTGCTTGGTCCACCCGTCTTTCTCGTCGTATTAAACTTATTTTCTGCCGCTGGCGTTGAAAATAATTTAAAAAAAATCGAAGATCTATTACATTATGTACTCATGAACATAATGTATATCTTCGATTTTTTTTTAGATCTCTATTAATAAAACATCGAGGCATCGAGGGATCTCATATCATTATGACATCCCTTGATCTTTGTTCATCTTTTCTCTGTTGCTTCTTTGTAGCCGTGCTTAGTGCGTTTTAACAGACATATTTTTATTATCATAAAATTTTTGACATCACGTCTTAATCGTGTTCCCATTCTGCGTATAATTAAAGATGAGACGTCCCAACCTTCTTGGGACGTTTTCGCCACTTCTGGCCACTTTACTTCGGGCGCATTAACAAGGTTTTCTAGGTTAAGTGTAACCACAATAGCAGGTGTCCACTTTTTTTCTAATTATATTTTTCTTCTATGTTTCTAATTAAGATATTTAAATGGCATAAACTATTTATCATAAATATTAAAGATTCTATCTCATTGTGTTTACTGTCACATGATAGTAGGTGGTGAGGTGAGTGAGGTAGCCGGAGCCCAATTTCCAAAAGGTTGTCAACGCATCTGTGACCCTCGGGTTGGCAGAAGTCCATGGGCGGCGGTCACTTAACATCAGGTGAACCGCCTGCTTGTTTGACAACTTTTCGCATAAAAAACTAAATTTGCACATTACACAGATGCACACATCTGTGACGTGTATTATTAAGGTGATGGGATTTAAATGTAATGTGCAAATGTCTCTTTACTTTCAGGTTGGAAATCACAATATAATCTCAAAAATTAATCTGATCTATAGGTATAAACGTCACTCCCTTGACTGACATGATATTGGCAGAATTCTTTTAAGAGAAGCCATTTATTAAAGAAAGAAGAACTAAATTTTAATTATTGTAAATCTTGATGATTGCATATAAATTCTAGGTAAATGATATTAAAAGATATCATATTTTACAAAGCCTTTAAACGATAACTGCATACTCTTAAAAACACCCCTAAACATTTTACCCCTTCAAAAACCCCAGTACATTTTTTATCCCTAAAGAGAGGGAAACCCCAAGTTGGCAGCAATGGTATTGTTTGGCACATAGTGACGCCATTGCACATTTTCGAGGGATATTTCATTTTTTTTAAATTGCAAATTTTAAATATTCGAACAGACTTTTGGGGTGAAATAGAAGCTAAGGTATATTATTAACCAAGTCAACTAGCTTACTGTAATATTATAATACCTATATTAAAGTAAACTATAGAACTTGATATGTTCCTTTATATAAATATAAACCATCAAGTACCATCGTTATCACATTGGTAATTTCCAGTTGAGGTTGTTTCTTAAAGTAGGATCCAGTTCCTATCTTGACTATTTCATTTTCCATCAGCAACTAGACTGGCCATAATAAGATTTTTTTTTTTGGGCTGGATGAGCCACTGTTGGCCTTAGGGGACTTTACAGTTCCGACGGGCTTGAGGTGGCCTGGCGCACGAAGCGCCTAGCCTGAACCTCGGCGTACTATTATTACGCGTTATGGTGACTAAGCTCGAGGGCTCCCGGAGGAGCCTCGGGTCGGGCCGTCACGCTATTATTATCACCGGTTTGGGAGGCCGCCAAGCTCTTAGGGCGCTTAGGCGGGCGCTCCATGGAGTGATCAGGCTCAAGGGTCCCCGAGAGGGGACCTCGGCTTGGGCTGTCACTCAGCACGCGTTTAGCATTCCGATTCGAGGGTGCCCGAGAGGGCCGGACCTCGGCTCGATCGGTAGCTATTAACTGATTGGGAGCGTGGTTAATCAAATGCGCTCAGTATTGTTAAATAGTAAATGCCTATAGACGTACACCTGTCCACGGTTATTATAAAACCGTTTTTTACATCAGGCTCTAAGGTTTGTTGAGAAATGAAAAATAATTCCACAAGTCATAAGTCAATGAATAATTTATTCTTTTCAAAAACTTTCATTATCTACATATAATTTTTTTTTTTAAAATAACAACTAGTGACTAGTGTTTTAATTTCAGGGATTTCGGAATACTTTTTAAATATTCCGAAATTTTGATGATAATTTAATATTTACACTAAAAACTCTCTTCTACTGTATCTCGAACATAGTATTGTTTTATTTTACAACCTTTACAACTAGATTATTTGAGAGTCATTACCTCTATAGTTCATAAAGTTACCGACTTTAAGAGTTCGCTGACGTGTAAGTACACCTTTGTTTGTTAGAAAGAAATTTAGGGGTACACAATGAAAATAATCATCACGAATTTGTGACTCACGTTAACATGTGTTTGCTTGCTTGGTGTCAGGTGTTAAATTTTATTATTTCTGATTTCATTTGAACTTTAGCGAAGCAAGTCAAATGACTTGCTTCACTAAAGACAATATTTCACTTGACAGCAAATGTTGTCAATTGAAATCAAATTATAAAAGACTTCGAAATAACGACAAAATAAAATTATAAAAGTATTATATAACTATCACTACCTTACACCAACAGTACAACTGTATAAAAAAACTAAATTATTTAATCTGCAGCAATTATATATATATATTTTACTTGCATTTTAATTAAAGAAATTCCTACTAAGGACATTCATTCAAATTTACAACTACAAAAACACGAATTCGCCCAACGATTAAGAAATAAACATTAAATAATATTACCAAGAGTAAGAACTACTTACGGAAGGAAAACTGTATTATTTGAGGGAGTACAGATTTACAATAACTTACCTAATGAATTAAAAGAGTGTGAAAAAATAAATATTTATAAAGTGAAACTTAAGAACTACTTGCAAGAAAACTCCAGAACATGAACATTTATATACATATATATATTTTTTTTCTTTTCTTCTTTATTTTTGTTGTTTAGTAATGTACCTAATTTATAAAATTATATTGTACTAATTTAATGTGACCTGAACCTTAACGCAACTTGCTTATTGATATTTTATACTTTCATCTACCCCCAAAGTAATATTACTGCTTTTGTCTTCCACAATGCTAAAGAGGTTAAAATGAACTATATGCCGTATCTTGTAACATGCATCTCATTTTGTAAAACTTTGTGTTTTTTATGAATAAATTCTTTAAACCTAAATATTGTCAAAAGTAGTTTGGTTCTACTGCAATACACATCAATTTGTATAACAGTTTTGAAATAGTTGAAACACAAGTAATGTTGAGTAGTTGAAACTGAAACATAAACTGAAAACTGAGTCTGCTGAAAAATTAGAAGTGCTTGAAGCTGCGAAGAGCTGTCAAAAGAAGAAAGATTAACAACTTGTATTTTTATTTATTTTACCTCTCTATCTCAAAATTCATAAGAATGAATCACAACCTCTTCATGTAGAATAAAAATCTGCCTAAATCGAAATTCTCTATTAGTTTAATACTCTATAACTCGAAATTTTTGGCATCTCTCTTGATGTTCCACTTATAGAGGTTCTACTGTATATAACAAACAAAAAGAAAGGTAGTATATAACAAACAAAAATAAATGGTAGTCAAGTTGACTGTTTAGTAAAGAACAAAGTCATTCAAACTACACTTGAATATCCTCAATGTTTGTTATTACTGGATGTACTAGTAGGTTGTTCAGGGTCCAGTGAAGCAGCTTTATGTAACTCGTATAATTGGATAAGTTGATCTTCCGTCATATAATCAAGCAACTTAGGGTCAAGATATTTACCAACTTCCTTCTTTTTGGCTTGTTGTAATGGCTTCATTTGCTTCGCTAATTTAATAGCATAATCCTGTAACAAAGATTTTCTCCAGAATAACATTCAAATGTTTTAAAAGTAAGAAAGTAAATAGTGACAACAGTATATAATTATAGTAGATAAGCGAGATTTGTTTGTAAGGTCTTGCCTAATTTCAGTCCCCCAGAGCTATAAAAAGAGGACCATAAGATGGGGATGATCAACTTACCGTCCACTCATTCAAAAATATACGAGCTTCTTCTGGATTACATTTCTTATGGCGTTTAAATTCATCCCTTGCATAATTATCACCTAAAACACGCAGCTCAACGGGTAGGCCCCGATGAACTCTAAAAATGAGCTTATAAAGTCGACGAACCCTAAATACATGATCAGCTGGCAGCATAATGTAGGTTTTGGTTGGATGATAAGTAAACTAAGAAGTATCGTTAAACTTATTAAATTATGTTTATAAATTAATTATTTTAAAATGTATGGTAGATAAATGCCATTTCGTTTTAATTTTGTCTGACATGACATTTTAATCTTGTCAATGTCAAATGTCAATTTTAAGAAATGACAATTAAATTAAGATAGGAATGACGACTGTCGAGTGAAGAAATATATCGATATTTATAAAAATATCAATATCGGTCTCGATATATCGAAGAGAAAATATTGAAATGGAGTCTTAGAAACCCTTTTGTCAAGAAAAAAAAAGAAAAGGTATATTACACCAACGGGTTCGAATTTTAAAAAATAGGGTTTTTGTATATACATATATATATATATATATATATATATATATATATATATATATATAGAGTTTTTTGGCAGATCGGAGCATCTATGACGGTGCATGCTCTGATCCTAATTTTTTTACTGCTGGTGCGCCACATGGCTGCGTACTGTGTGTCCTATTGTTTCTTCTGCATATAAATGAGATGTTGCAAATTAGCAAAATTTAGAGCTACTCCTAGGCATACAATAGCACTGTGGATGTCTCATACACTGGCCGTGCTAACATTTCTCGGCTAACTAACACTCCCCTGTCTGCCACAGCTAGTATCGGAATACATGGCGTCGATATCTCGAGCAACGTCCAGTTCCGCGGTCAATTGGAAGGTAAGAAGATCTGCTTGCTGTAACAAGACGCGACAGTACTTAGCGTCGGCTCAAAGCCTCAACCTCTATAAAACGCAAATTCGGCCCCACATGGAGTACTTCCCTCATCTCTGGGCGGAAGCCCCTGATTACCAACTTCTTGTATTTGAATTTTGACCGCATTCAACGTAGGCCGGCTAGAATTATGGGCAATCAAAGTCTTACCGATCGGCTTGATGACACTGCATCTCTCGTATTTATAAGGGGAGAGTTCCGAGGAATTGTCTAGATTGATCCCGGGAGCTGAATTTCACCATCGAACATCGCGCCAAAAACAAACATTTCATCCATACCACCTCGATGCCCAATGTTTTCTATTTTCAAGGCATTTCGCCTCGCATAATCACTCTGCCGCCGTTACGACCTGGGAATCTTCAAGAAGGGGGCGTACTCTTTCCCGAAAACGCCGGCAACGCATTTGTTAGCCCTCTGATGTTGCAGGTGTTCATGGACGGCGGTAGCCACTTACCTTCAGGTGAACTTCATGCTCGTTTGCTCCTTTTTTTCATGAAAATATTGACTGTTTGAGTGTGAATCGCCGGGTGATCACCGCACAGGTAGTCCTTACGGCCGTTATGCCCACACCTACGTCTTTACCTCGCTTCTTCGCGACATTCCGGCGCGCTTCTACGTTCAATTCGTTCACTTGTGAGGAGTGCCATCTAATTGTTGTCACCTCTTCTGACACAGAGTAACTGTCATAGTTACTCGGTGTCAGAAGAGGAAGTGGAAAACGCGGCACCATATTCCCACTCTAGCTCTAACGACGATGAATGTCCCGTCGAATGACACAAACGTCGTGCAGCCCAAGGTTCTCAGGCCGCCTCTACCTGTAACTATGCAGAATAAGGAAAAGTAGTGTACCATCTCAAAGCTACTCGGTCAGAGGAATAGTAAGAACTCCAAGGCTAGGCCTCTACTGACCGGTATACAGGCCTCTTCCCAAATGTACACAACAACCAATCACTCATGAAGTGGTTTTCTCAAAAACAAGTTTCCACACTTGAAGGGGACCGTGTCGTCATCAAGCACATCCTACGGGAGTTCGTTAGAGGCTCCGTTAAGGAGTACCTGGCAGAATTAGGCTTCCCAATCCTCAGTGTGCTTCGTTTAAGTTATACATGCAATTCATGCTGCTAAATAATTTAAAATGAACATTCGACGCAAAACTTATTCACCTTATTACCGTACAAATAGGAATGAGCACACTAAACACTAAATTTGATTACAAGATATTAGATTATAAGATGATTCAATAAATGTAACTTTTTACAAATTCACTATTTTCGAATTACTTTGCCTAACAAACAAAGTATGGGAAATATATAAAATGAAAATATTATATTACTACATATATTATTATTTGTCAAAAAACTTTTGGTGCTATATTAGTAATATTTTATTTAATATTTTAAATGCAAATATTCACGATTTTTTAATATTTTAACAACTAATAAGATAACAACTGGATAAGTTTCTTTTTTGGTAGATTTACATTCAGAAATTTAAATTGTTTTATTAAATAGTTGCACATTGTAATGATATTAAGTTAACTTATTATTATTTGCTTGTTATATAATATTTTTAAAACAAAGGTATGACTACGCAAAAAAGTTTTAGCGTATCATTTTGAAGTTGGTAAAATATTATTTTCCACCATTATCTTTTCCCCAATGAGAAAATAGGGCAAATAAAGACTGATCTTGCTTTTTGATTGCTTGATTATAGTTACGAAACTAAACTTCAGGGCAAATTCGTTGACAGACTGTCCTATTTGTACAGTAAGACAAGCCTTACAACACAAACTTACAAATACAATATACACATTACAAAAAACTGTAATGTGGATATTATCAGTATTTGTAAACTATAATTTAGCTTCAAACATCTGATACTAATGTTTACTGTTTCTACTTTTAAAATTCCATATAATTGTACATGTTTATAAAATGAACAATTTTATATACTTAAATAATTTATTACTATGTTGATACTATGTTATGTTCAACAACCGAATTAAAAATATGTAAGTTTATTTTACAATTTTATCTATAATAAGTATCATTATTATGAAATTCTTAAACATAAATGTCAGCTTATCTATTGAATTCTTTCTTATTTTAACAACTATACATTATACTACAGTAGTTCTTCTGACAATTTTCTATTTAATATTTAAAAATATAATTTTATTCATCAATAGAAAAAGAAAATTTCAATAACAGACTCTAAATAAGGCTATCATAGAAGAGTTTAATATTTTTTATTAAGTATAGAGTAAAAAATTTACATAAATGGTATATTTTTTTCTAGTAAATTTGCTGATAATTTTGTACACACTGTATACAATTCACAACATTTTCATAGCACATAACATTTTTTTAATATAGATAAGGCCTGGTAACAAGACCTTTAAACCAGACCAATTTCCTAACATAAACCTACAGTAATAGTGAAGCGTAATATGAAACATGAAATTTTGTTTTTATACCCTGACAATAATTCTTAGTTGATCAAAAAGATAGTTGAAGCGTATTAAATTAATTTTTGAGAATATTTTTTTGGCCTCTCATATGTTAAAGACTAAAAAAAAACAATTGAGTTTAGCTTATACAGGTAAAGAACATCCCTCATCAATAATCCCTCATACCTAACCTAATTCCATTTGTTTTCCTTTTTATTTGCCATTTTTGATTTTATTTTCTCATTAACAGTAAATTGAAAAGGATTGTGCTTTGTGATAAGAATTATCACATTTGAAAAAAAATCATTTTATATAAAATTTATGTAATGCATTTCAGGTTACAATATCTAAATCTTGTAGATAATAAAATTTAAATGTGTACTACCATAATACCATAAATTTAACAGCACTATAATGAAAACTATAGTATGCAATGCCTAAATTCATTGCCAATATACTCTAGGTTTAATATATATGTGACTCCTTTGGTCATTTAGAAGTAATTGCGACATTGAAATTGTAATTTTTTTTAATTTTTATTAATGTGTGAAGCTAACATCATTTTAAAATTTTCATTTTTCAACTGTCACCATAGTTCATTACCAATGATCACTCATAATAACAAATTATATATTTAGTTATAAATCAGTTCTCAATCATTAAAAAATTATTATAGTAATCAAGCATTATTTAATAATATATATTTATATACATAGTCTATAAATATATATAATTATATAATAAAAAATTTAAACTAATGTGAGTAATGGTAATGTCAACATTCTCGCAAATGCATATACATGAGCTGTAATAAGAAATTATTATTATTAAATCTTCTCCTGAATGAAAGGATGCGTGAGGCAGTGGTTTACAGAAGCTCGCTTAGTTGGGTCTATCATAAGCATTCTTTCGAGAAGATCTTTTAATTGCAAAATCTTCTTAGCTTCTGTTGGGGGAAGGCGGTGATGTGGTGGCGCCAATTCCATTTGTAAGTCTCGTGATGGTTTAATACTTGACATTATGACAACTTTTTCCTGCAAATAATAAATTCTCAACATCAAATGCATTACTTTTATACAATAAAGGCTTAATGAATGAAAGTTTCCAAATCAAACACAAATCAAATTAATAATTTTAGTAGGTATTTTTTTAAATACTAACTGATTGGAGATTATCATGTGTTCAATATGAATAGTAAACAATGGTCATTTGACTCTGTTAAAAAATATTGTGATTATGTCATTTTAACAACATTTCAACTTATGTTTTAGTTATTAACGTAAAATTCGATGTTGCATAAGAACACACAAGTGTCTATTTGAATAATGATATTTTGAATTTTAATTTAAGAGACTATCAGACAACTCACCCTCTCAGTAATTCTGTCAAGTTCATGATATAAAAAGTTACAATTTGCATCAAAATGCTGCTCTTTAAAATGACCTTTCTTTATTATCTTATTTGGAATCTTTCCCTTAAAGTCCATAAAATATTTCAGCATTTCATTGTTAGATTTTCCACTAAACATTATTTTTCCTGTGGACAGCTCATATATTGTGCAAGCTGTAGACCACATATCAATACCAAAGTCATATGGCACCCCTAAAATAATCTCAGGGGCTCGGTAAAATCTTGAAACAAGATATGGTGTAATTTCATTATCAGCAATGTGTGATGCTGCTCCAAAGTCACATAATTTTAAAACTAATTTGCTCTCATTGACAAGTATATTATCAGGTTTGATGTCTGAAAAATAAGGATAACAGTCCGATTAAACTTTAAATAAGATTATAAACTATATAATGTTAACATTGTACAATATATTGAAAAAACAAAACACTTCCAAAATATTCAATTCCATCAATACCCATAATATTTACCAGCATGCAAGATTCCAGTTTTTTTAAGCAATTTTAATGCTAATAATATTTGCTGTGTATAGCTTCGCACTGCTTTAATATGAATACCACTGTTCTTTCCATACTTCTTCAATACTTCTCTCAAATTCATAGATAGCGGCTCCAATACCATACACAAATGCCGTTTATGAAAGAAATGGCGAAATAAACGGAGACAATGGTACTTATCATCAGGGTCAGAATCATTTAATTTCTTTAAAATTTCAAGCTCTCTTAGACCTGTCTTGTGCCTGTGAATTTAATATAATTAATTAATTTGGAGCCATTATATTAAAATTGGAATTGGAATAATTAATTAACCAAAATGTAAAAGGCGACCAACTATTCAACGGTGTTGAAAACTCTTTAATATTTTATTGCATTTTAGATATTAAAATTTCTTTGCAATTGTTTCATTTACATAGTTAATCATTACGTATACAAAAAAATGTTCAATTTGATAAAGTTATTGGAGTATACTGAATATCAGAATATCTGTTTCACAATACCAAAAGTTTACTCTGAATACAATTTATCATATTACACTTTAATAATAAATGAAAGCCATAGTGAGAATCAGTAAGATGTTAAACCTAGTACTAATTCTCGGAAATTGTAAAACATACATAATTTCATTGTTCCTGATAATTTTAACAGCCACATCGGTGCTGCCTCTGGCTAAATCTCTTGCACGAACAACATTAGAGAACACCCCTTGACCAGTATATCCATACACTGAGTACCTATTGTCAAGTGTCTCACCAATACGGACTCTGAAAAAATTAACAATTTATATAATATTAAACTTGAGTGTCATCCATGAAGTCTCTAATCTTTGTTTGATATGTGTAGATGAATGTATGAAATATGTATCCCTTACGGTGAGCATATTACATGTGAGGAAAAACGTACAATTTCGCATATTTAAAGTGGAGAAGGAATACAGACAAGTACAACTTAGACATTATTTTATTTCCAAGGAAAAATTACATTATGGCTGTATTTCAACCACTGCAGTGGTTCCCTAGTACTACAAAAATCACCCAACGTCACTCTGTGATTCAATGATAGTAGTGATCATTATAACAACTACAAAGTCTGAACTTAACAATGGTATAAATTAAATGCACTTAGCTAATTACTTTCATTACCATTTCATCATCGAAAGTGTGAATAACAACAGTAAATGGATTTCAATCTGTTAATATTTTTTTATTTTATTTACAATTTTAATATTGTTTGTTTTATATACGTTAGATGAGAACTCATTCTTTATGATTTCACTTGAATTTGTTCCTCGTTTTCCCCCTTTTAGATTAATATTGATTGTTTTATATACGTTAGATGAGAACTCATTCTTTATGATTTCACTTGAATTTGTTCCTCGTTTTCCCCCTTTTAGAGAAATGTGGGTGTTACGTGAAAATAATATCCTTGTAGCACTTTGCTACGCACACGAATTAACACTTAATGTCTTTCGTTTTGTATTTTAAAAATGTTGTTTTTATTGCAGGTTCAAGTCTGGAGTATATATTCCCACGCATGTCTCCGAAATTTGAAAGTTGAAAATTGGACGTCACTGAGCAGGCCAAGCTCGTATTTCAAGAGATACGTGACGCGTTTTCTTTTTTCTGCATGTTTCTTAGGCTTAATATAAAAAAGTGTCAATTTAGACAAGCTGATAAAGATAGCGGTAAGGAAAAAAAGCCATCCAATCCCAATTCAGGATAAAAATGGGTTTGGTAGTAGGCAAAACTAAACCAGATGGAAGTGAGACTTCAAATGATGGTAATACGGCTAGTAGGTTCTTTGAGAATGCTGAAATTGTTATTCCTGAAATTTCTACTGAAATTACAGGAATTGATAAAAACTTAATAAAACTTTGTGCCACAATATTGCAAGTTATATATTTTAGATATTACAGAGTAATCTCTCTTAAGTTTGGGGAATTTGCAATGGAAACTGCCAGGCAAATTGTCCAACCATATGCATTGCTTTAACTACCAGCTTCTGTCCACAAGGTATTAGCGCATGGATCTGCTATCATAGAACATGCACTTTTACCTATTGGACAACTTACTGAAGAAGTGGCAGAAGCGAGAAACTTCCTAGTATGACGAAGTCTCTACATTAGAATGTTCAGACTTCTTCATACTAGGAAGTTTGCTAGCACTATAATTAATAGGGACCTTTTGAATAGGCTTCTTTTAAGCTCTAGTCCATTAATATCAGAACTTAGAAAGAAAGAAAACTGTTTTATCAAAAGCTGTATTGAAACTCCCTAAACAAAACAAAATTATTTTTTATTAATAACTTTATATAGCTGCATTTCTTTTGTTTATTTTACCTTTGTGTGTTGTTTAATATAAATTTATGCTTAAATAAGTTACATCTTTCAGAATAACTGAGTCGCAATTTAATATTTGATTTAACTTTTTTTATTGTAATTTTTTTTTATGTAGTATATACAGTAATATATCGTTATTTGTTATAATTTATGACAATGAACTTATTATACCTCTTATCTAACCAGTTTCATTCATAAAATCGCAGAAATAAAGTATTTTATATTTTTGTTGCACCTTGGTATGGGAGGGGAACCACAGTGCATTGCAGTGTGTTGTTAGACTACCAGTAATATTAAAACTATATAAACCATACCTATAGTAACCCTCTGCGTCGTCCCAGTTGTCGGTTAGTGAAGGGTTTTCTAATGTGTTTTTGTTCTTGAATTTTCCAGCTGTTGGAGTCTAAAATAAAACAAATTAGATATGGGAAAATTTTAACATCAGAGCAATTAAATTATTAATTTTTGGCACTCAGTTAACAACTTGTTGTATATGTATATGTATGTATATGTATAACTGATCTTACACTTTCAGTTCTTATACTAATAAAGCTTCATCTAACGCAACCGGTGGGCTAGCCAGAACCCACGGGTTTGAGGCCCTCCTCAGTGGGTACTCGCTGCGTACGTTTTTTTTTTTTATGAGAAAAGTTGCCAAACGAGCAGACGGTATTTGGCGTTGACAACCTTCTTGGAAATTGGGCTCCGGCTACCTCCCTCACCAGACGAAACGCGAAAGTATTTATCATACTTCCACTTTACGCCGGTCTTCTGTGAGGTCGTGGTACTTACCCGGACGAGCCTGCCCATTCGTGCAACAGCCGAGGCTGCTGCGTGGCTCTACCACCGTAAAATATTAAAATACCGCGTTGATTATGGCATGTCGCCTACGGGCCATCGAGGTTCGGTGCAGACCGTGAACCTGATAGCCGTAGACTGTGCTTGATTAGTTGGTGGCTGGGGGCGGTGAGAACCGCCCTGGAACTAAGTACCTATATCTAGTGTACGCGTTGTTTTGATTCCGGCGTGCTCGAAAGTAGGACGAACTATGGTGTTTGTTGATGCACTAAATGAGTGTATCGGGACCCCCAACATGCATATTAAGTGATCCATCTCACATGCATATCCTCCACACCCCTTACAACTCATTTACATTACTTAACTATAACATTCTGTTTGACACTATAAAGTTTTTTAACAAAAATAAAGAACCGACTTCAACTGAAACCCTTTTGAATAAAAAAATAATTTTGTAAATACAATTAAACATGATAGATTAATGCCCAAGCATACATAAAAAAAAAATATATATATATATAAACATCCGAATTGATAACCTCCTTCTTTTTGAAGTCGGTTAAAAAAGAATATAATATAATTCTGAATACACATATATACTTACATCGACATTATCAAAATTATCCTGATCTGCAAACATGTCCCATTCACCTTTGGTAGGGTTTTCCAATTTTGCAGTTTCAGTATCAGAATTATTTCCTAGCTCACTCCCTTCTGTTTCAGTGTCGACGGTAATCTTGGGTTTAGCAAATACGGGCGTAGCACTAACTTCTATGGGAGGGTTCACTATGGATTCAACTTTCTCCGGGCTTTGCTTAATTTCTACTGTAGGTGGTGTAAGCTTGCCAGTGTCAGACTTCACCTTACCACCCATACCCAATCTCTGTAATTATATGTTTTCGATTGGAAATGAAATAAAGTATAAATTAGTTTAATTTGTTCAACCATTAAATTCAACTTTGACTCAAAATACCTTCATAAGCTGTTCACGTTGTTTTCTTCTCCGTTCTATTATTTGTTCTTCAGATTCTTCCTCTTCATCAGTGTTTATAGATATGTTTAGTTCCTCATCACTTGAACTAGCAACAAATTGCGACTTTTCACCTGTGGATGTCTGAAATAACAAAATAAAATGGCATCAAGTTATGAAACCTATATTTAATTGAGCTGAACTAACTAAAAGCAAAAAGTTCAGAAGTTACTACTTTTTAATATTAACACTTAATATTGGAGCATATTTATTATTGCTATTATTGTATCCGGACAACATAAACTTACCTTATACCTGTCCCTGTAGTCTACTTTGGAAGTATTGTTCTTTGAACGTGCCCTGTAACGGTCACGACTACGATCTCGAGACCGACGATCTCTTTCGGAATACCTTTGCTCCCGACGAGAGAACGGTGATCTCTCTCTGGATCGACGGTGACTTCTATCTCTCTCTCTATCTTTTCTTTTACGTTCCAAAGATCTTCGCTCCCTTTCACGATCACGTTCTCTCTCCCTCTCACGCTCTCGTTTCCTTTCCCGCTCTCTCTCTCGTTCTCTTTCCCTATCTTCTAGTTTACGACGTTCTTTTCGATCTCGATATTCTTTTTCTTGTATTTTCTTTTCGATGACTCTTCTACTTTCTCTCTTAATTATCTCCCTCAAGTCTTCTTGACGCCTTGAACGATATTTGTCTCGTTCAGATAAACGATCGTTACTTGATTTTTGTTTACTACTTCGTTTCTCATCGTATTCCCGTTCCTTTCGTGTTTTTTTCGGAGTATTTGATTTGTTCCCTACATTACGTTGGAAAACAACTTCATTACCAACATCTTCTTTAGAGGTTCCTCTTTCATCATCACTTTTGTCAGAAAAATAAGCCACTAGACGAGCTTGTAATAGTTCCTTTTGCTTCATTAACTCTTCGAGATTAAGATCATCTTCTATCATAGCTAGTTCTGGACTTGCACAATCTTCTTGATAATTTTCTGTTTCTGAATTTGATGATATTATTTCTAAAGAATCAGCTTTGTCCAACTTAATTTTTTTTTTACTGTTAGCATCACTATACGATTTCCCTATGGAATCACCATTTTTAGTTTTCGAAGTTTTATCTCTATATGGACTATCTTTACTAGTAATTGGTGTTGTATGAGATGATTTCTTATCAACAGGAGCCCAATTTCGCGATTTAGTTATTAGATCCTCTACATCAGAAAGAGATGTTTCACTTTCCTGCTTAGGACTTTTACGTCTTTCTTTTTTACTCTTTTTCTTTTTTTTTAAGTCAACTTCATCTTCAGTTCCAGTTGTCCTTTTTCTTTTCTTATGTTTTTTAGTTTTCTTTTTCTTTTTAATTTCATCATCAACATTGTCACCGTTAGCAGATTTTTCGGTCGTTTCAATATCATTTTTAGTTCTAAAAAAAACATTATTTTAAAGTTACTGTAACTCTATTTTCATTTATGTTATATAAGTAGGCATATAAAATGAAAATTTCATTTAACTACTATAAAAACATGAGCCGAGATTATTCAAAGCGCATAATAATCATTTATCATAGCCTCAATCATGACAATTGACATTTTGCAAGCTGAAAAGGCATAAAATTATGAATGTGCTATAAAATAAACATCATTACCAATAAATAATAAAATGAAGTGTACTGAAGTTGGTGTAATGCATTGTCTAGTAAACTTAACATAATTCCTTGCTTTTACATTATCATTATTATTTTTTTATTATTTATAATATTTATTACATCCATTAAAAATCTATTTAAGCTCATGCTTGCAATTACCAGAGCCGTGATAGCTCAGTGTCCGGGCGCTCGCCTTTAATTCAATATACTCGAGCAACCTGAGTTCGATCCCCGGTGCCGGCACCAATGAAGTTTTTAACTTTAAGTCCTGACTTATCACGTGCTCCGCGGTGAAGGAAAACATCGTGAGGAAACCTGCATATTTTCGAAATAATAACAAAAAAAAAAAATATTTCGAAGATATGTGAAGTCCGCCAATCCGCAGTGGGGCCGCGTGGTGGACTATGCCCTGATACCCTCTGTATAGAGGAGGCCTTTGCCCAGCAGTGGGACATGTATAGTCTGTTACTTTACTTTTACTTTTTGCAATTACTATTAATTAAAATCAGCGATTTCTCCACAAAATATTAAATACAAAAAAAAAATCATGTTGCTATTGTCACTAAATTAAAGAAAGTTTCTAGAGCAGTGATTCTCAACCTTTTTTTTGTTGCGGCACATATTTAACGATTTCAAAATTTGGCGGCACACAAAAAAAAAAAGATAAAAATTATTTACTTACTACAACACACTGCATAAATAGTTTATGACAAAAATTTTAAATATACGAAATAAACTAATATATACTACAATAATAACTAAACGTTTATTAAGGGATTAATTACAAGTTAATAATAAAAATATTTTTAATGCAAAATTTGAGCTTGATGTTTTTTGATAATTTCATTTATATTTGGTCGTAAAAATGACAATGCTACTCTCATATCGTCTTCTACATTTAACAATCTTGAAAATTGATCTTTTTTTAGTTTTAATGTTGGCTAGTGCCAAAAAATATTTTTCTTTTTAAATGATATAATTTAATAATATTAACATTATTATATATTTGCAAAATTTGGCGGCACACTTTTGAAATTTGGCGGCACACAAAAGTGCCGCGGCACAGTGGTTGAGAATCACTTTTCTAGAGCCTTAACTACCATGGCATAATTATAAAAAGCTATAAAATACAATGTGCGGGAAGTCGATGGATGCAGGTGGCTCAGGATCGTACTTCGTGGCAGTCTGTGGGGGAGGCCTATGTTCAGCAGTGGACTCAAACAGGCTGAAATGATGATGATGTTGATGATGATAAAATACAAAGTAAATTGAATATTAGTGATAATCGCTTTTCATGTATTATATTATGTAGAACATAATTATATAACATCACAATACATAAACTTTTCTGTACTGATCAGTTAAATATGTTTTTAGAGTTGATACAAATCACTCAAAATAATATGAGACTCAGATAATTTATCTGTTCCTCGAAGATGGTCTATCCATAGAAGATGGTCTTTTTAGAGGCCATAATCGAGGGAGTATGATAAACTGTGTGTTGGCCTTTAAAATGTTTACAAACTAAATTAATCAAAACAAGCAGTATCATGGGGAAGTGAGATAAGTGCATTTGAACTGTAAGGAAATGTATCATGCAGCATATGCAGGCCCAAAACAGGTGGCCATTTATACTATTTGTTGCAAGTTTAAAAGTTAAAAATATTTATGAAGATACATACTCTCTACCCATTATTTGATAGTTGGATGTTTCTTTATTAATGTTGCCCTGAAACACAAATAACTCATATAAGATGTACAGAAAAATAACAACCTATAAAAGAATGTATATTTTATTGTTAGGTAGAAAACTGAGAATATTATGCCCGGTTTCTGAAACACTGATCATTGTAGCAGTTAACTAAACAGCTGTCAAATGGATTTTAAAATGTTATTTAAGTTGCCAAAAGGATGGTTAAAGACTCTGAATTGATTAGAATAATCTTAATGATCAATTCAGAGTTTAACCATCAGCCATAAAGACAGCTGATTAGTTATCTTCTAAGATGATCAGTGTTTGAAAAACCGGGCATTAGTGTATTGGTAAAATTTGAAATATTAATTTAAATATATAGTTTTATTCATGGTTCCATATTTGATCTGAAAAATGCATGTAAAAAAATTTCAGAGAATACTTTCAGAGAATGGTCAACATTGGAAAAAATTGTAATTATTACCATATTTATATATATTTTTCCATATATTAACAATATTAAGCTCTAATATATATCCTTATTCTTTAAAGCTCTACTAACACTGATAGAAACACTGATTCCTGTATTAAACTTTACCAGACAAAGTATGTATAATATATGAAGAACCTAATACCAAAAAAATGTAAAATAGGTAAATTTATATGGTACATTAATAGTGGTAGAATGGTATCAAATTAGAGCAACTTTATGGTCTTGTGGTCCCTACCCTTAGTGAATATAAAAAGGCGGAGCCAGAACATACAAAAGGCCGAGAGGGTGAAGCAACAGTCAGGTGTGATATAGCGAGAATTTCTGAGCATGGAAGAGTCAATTAAAATAATGAAGTAATAAACTTATAATCAAAATGTTGTCAACAACAAAATGGCGGATTTTTGTAGTGAAAATAATAATTGTTAATTATTTCATTACTGATTTTTCTTTAGCAAATAAATTTTTTGTTAGGTACCATTATCCCTTTTATTTTATTTAAAAAATGCACGTAGATTTTGAAATAAGGTACATTAGGCGATCTAAATCTTGGAATACAAAACAAAACATGATTTTATGAAAGCATTATTTGAACATAAACTAGTAATATACAAAATAAAGTTGTTGTAAAAAATATAAGTAACTAGATTTGTAGTAAGACTCCATAACGCGAAATAAATTTCGAAAAGATGTCTACATAACAGTAATTCATGTCTAATTAAAGTTAAAAGTATTAAGGTGGCAAATACAGGTTAAACTTGAGAAATTAAAATCTTTATATTGCTTTATATGTTATTGAACAACGTAACAGAAAAACTTTAAACAAAATTTTACTCAGGTTTAACTGAGGCTATTAACAAGAGCCTAAAGACAAACCCAATCTTCCAAGCAAATTAAAGCTAGCAAGCATGCTTTAAAATTTTATAAAATTTCGCTTACAATATGTGGAGCACAATAGTGCTTACAATGTGATTAAATATGAGGAATGTTTTAAAGTATTTTATTAACTTTAATATATAGATTTAAAAACAAATATAAATTAGTTTACACTAAGAAGTTATACAAAAATACAATATTAAATGTGACATTACCCATCAAACAAACAGAACAGACAGCGTTGATTTTTTATGACTTTTCAAAGTGTAGGCAAAGGCATTTATTTATAATTCTCAACATTTCCCTTAGAATAGTATAAATTGTTATAAAAATTTTAATAAAAATTAAGAAATTTTAACCATGCAGTAATTTAAACAGACGTTTAAATTTTAATTATTAAGTCCAGAATTTGAGCTTTGCACTATGCTATTGTGACTGAAAATTACCTTGGGGGGCATATTTTTTAACTTGTAGTTATATACATAGTTGCACCAAAGCAAAACATAGACTATGGGCCGCAACCAGGGAGGCCAGTTGCGAAAATTCTGTACGCGGTATACCAATGACTTTATTACCTTTGAAGGTCACCTCAGACAAGGTTAAAGTATATTTTACATTAGTCGTTGTTATTAACTAAATTAACGTAAAATTCGTGCTATGCTCGTTTGTCGTTATTATAGGTTCCACTGGCAATGGGGTTTTATGCCGAGTTACAAATATCCATCTTTTTTTGTCAAATATTCCATCCTTTGTTACGAGTGAAAGACATCATCACATCGTCGTAGTAGTATCTTGTATCTTGTATTAACTGATGTTTTTGCTTTCAGTCCCGAGACTATTAAAGCTTCATCTGACGCAGAACCGGTGGGCTAGCCAGAACCCACGGGTTTGGGCCCTCCGCTGTGGGTAGGGCCACGCATGTGATCATGCGTGCGTTTAACTATGGTGTGTCATCTAAGGGCCATCGAGGTCGTGGTTCGGATCGAAACCCCGATGGCCATCGACTGTGTTTTTAGCTAATCGGTGGCTGGGGGCGGTGAGAACCGCCCCGGAACGCGGGTGTACCTTGTGTACGCGTTGTGTTGGTCTCGCCGTGCTCGGAGGCGAGGGCGAACTAGTGTATTTGTTGTTGCACTAACTGTGGGTGTAGTGTTGTCCAGCGGGACCTCCGGCGGTGGGTCCGGCGTGTCTAAGTCCCCTTCCTCGACCGGGTCGATGAGGACGTTTCGCGGGCGACGCTTGTTGACGTTCGCGTTTGTGTCGGGTTGTTAATTTGCTGCGCTTACCACCAGAGGGTTGGGATGATGTTCGGCTCTATCGAAGAACCGTTTCGTCAGGTCTTTAAAATATTCGCGAATAGTCGGGAGTCTGCAATCGCTGTGCAGATCGACGATGCGTTGATACCACTGCGCACCGGTTGCGCGGCGGATGAACTTGTTTTGTACTATTTGCAACTTGTACAAGCGAGTAGGGTGCGTGTGGGTGAAGGTCATCTATGCGTAAGACATAATAGGTCGTACGCAGGTCTTATATAATAATAATTTGTGCCTTAAGGGCATTTTACTTTTAGCGTTAGTTAAATTGTGTTAGTTAATTGCCGGCCGGAGACGAACGCGGCTCTATTACGAACATTATTAATGTGCGTAGTAAATGACATACGCGAGTCGAAAGTGACTCCTAAGTATTTGACCTTTTTCTCCCGGGGGAGCGGTTGGCCATAAAGGGATATTTGCCTCAACTTTCTGCATTGACGAGGGCCATTATAAAGATGTGACGGGTAAGTACTTCGTGTGAAGTGAATCGCCACACTCTTTTCGGGATTTATTTCTATTCTCCATTTGCGGAACCAATCGCCGAGGCGGTCGGCAGCGCTTTGGAGTCGAGTGGTTAGTTGTCTAAGGTTGCGGTCTGAATAAAAGAGCGTCGTGTCATCCGCGAAAAGCGCGAGATTGACGTGGGGGTCTTTCGGTATATCGCTCGTGTAGAGCATAAAGAGCAAAGGTTAGAGGCAGGAGCCTTGTCTGCAGGAGCGCCGTCCGTGAGGCGGCGGCTTGTGGAGAGGGTGCTTTCAACTCGATATCGAAAAGAGCGGTTCGACAGGAAGGCACGGATGGTGTGTACGAGCCTATCTGACACTTTGAGTGTGTACAGCTTGTAAAGCAAGCCGTTGATCGGGACAGGAATGCCTAGCTCGAAAGCCGAATTGTTCCGCCGGCAGAAGGCCGTTGGAAAACACGTACTCATTGAGCCTGTTTAATAAAAGCCGCTCGTAGAGCTTCCCCAGGCAACTGAGGAGGCTGATGGGACGATAACTAGAGGGCTGGTTGGCTGGTTTATTCGATTTGCGAATGCCGATAACCCTGGCTTCTTTCCAGTCGTCCGGAAAGGAGCAACTGGAGAGTAAACAGATAAGCGGCCCAGGGAGAGCTTTAAGAATTTTGTTACTAATATTATCTGGGCCCAGGGCGGATTTGGGTTTTAAGTTTTTAATAATATTGTTATGAACACACAAAGGAACTAACGCCATCTAGCGTCAACTATTAAAACTACTAAAGAACAAAGACGACATAAAACCCCCTATTCAACACTAGATGGCGTTAGAGGAACTGCTGTGGAACTATGGTCTCGAAAACCGGGTACTTTCGCGAACTTTCCGGAATCACGGACATGTTCGTGCGTGTCGGGTACGTTCCAGGAATGATCTTTCTGGATTAGTCGGGAACCAGTCTCGGCCCATATAAAAAGCCGCAGGGAGGCGAGCGATCACAGTTCAGTTTGAGCCACCTTCGAGGCGACTTCGGAGTGAAAACTAGTGATCAAGAGCGATACCAGTGAAACCTACGACTTGGCTACAAAATAGGACATAGTTAGTGCTTAGTGTTTGGACCTAGCGCTTTGTGTTGGACCTAGTTCTAGTGAATAAAGTCTTCAAAAGAGTCAGCAGGTCTTTCTCTCCAAATCCTTCGAACCCCTAACACGTAACAATACCTTGAACCTCTTCGGGGGTCACTGAATTTAAAGGATCGCCTTCCGGTGGAAGCGCAGCCCTAATCTCGATTACGTGGTCCACCTCCGTTAGGTGGGCCGTATCGATGTGTTCGCGCGATGGCGTACATTGCTGCTCTAGGTTGTCCGCAAGGCATTCGGCTTTTTCGGAGTCATCTAGGGCTACTGAAGCGCTATTAGGTCTAACTAACGGCGGTAGAGATTCGCGGGGGTCTGCTTTCAGACTGCAGGCCAACCGCCAGTAGGCGGTGCGCGATGGCTCGATGTCCTCTAGGAGAGTATCCCTGTATGTCGGTGTTCCGATACACGATCTTTGACTTCTAGCTGAAGGCGTCGAAGTAGGGTTCGGTTCGATTCCGATCGGTATCGGTTGAAAGCGCGTTTGGCTGCATTTTTCTGCCTAATTAGCAGTCGAAGGTCGAGCGGAAAGTTAAACCGTCGGTCGCCCGACAGTTTAACCGTCCGTTCCGAGTCTGCGACTGTGGAAGTGATGGTTTCTCGGAGACTTGCTATCGCTCGATGTGCGTCATCGAACGTAGCTATCGTCTCGGGTAGGTCGACTAAGTCCTGGGGGTCCAAGGCCTTTGGTTTGACCTCAAGACGATGCCAGTCCACTACGGATTTGGTCGGAGGGACCGCGCCGGCGTTCTGGCCCAGTTTACACAGGACGGGCCTGTGATCTGAATCTAGTTCATGGATTGTCTCTATCGACTCGATGTCGAGCGAGACCTCCTTGAATAACATGATATCTAGGATACTCGGTGTCGCGTGTTGGTAGTTGTCCACCGTAGGATACCTAGTGTGAGTCGCAGGAGCAATTATGCTAAAGTTTATAGTATCGGATAAGCTAAAGAGATGCTTTCCGTTGTTATTTGGGATGCTATGGATGTCCCATGAGCCGTGTTTGCAGTTTAGATCTCCTGCAATTATCACGGACGGGCCTAAGTTGAGTAGCGTATCTAGGTCGCTTTGTAATAAGGTTTTGTTCCCCGAGAGGTAGGCTGAGACTACTACAAGCAGCCTATGGCCGGTGAGCGCTATTCTACACGCGGATGCCTCTATATGGCTTAGCTCTGGAATGTCGAGCGGGCTACAGTGCAAGGACCGTTTGTAAT